AGAGAGACCAGAGAGAGACCAGAGAGAGGCCAGAGAGAGGCCTGAGAGAGACCAGAGAGAGAGACCAGAGAGAGACCAGAGAGAGCAGAGAGAGAGGCCAGAGAGAGACCAGAGAGAGGCCAGAGAAAGATCAGAGAGAGACATCAGAGAGAGACCAGAGAGAAGCCAGAGAGAGGCCAGAGAGACCAGAGAGAGAGACCAGAGAGAGACATCAGAGAGTGACCACAGAGAGAGGCCAGAGAGAGAGACCACAGAGAGAGGCCAGAGAGAGACCAGAGAGAGACATCAGAGAGAGACCAGAGAGAGACCAGAGAGAGACCAGAGAGAGGCCAGAGAGAGGCCTGAGAGAGACCAGAGAGAGACATCAGAGAGAGACCAGAGAGAGACCAGAGAGAGACCAGAGAGAGGCCAGAGAGAGGCCTGAGAGAGACCAGAGAGAGACCAGAGAGAGACCGGAGAGACCAGAGAGAGAGACCAGAGAGAGCAGAGAGAGAGGCCAGAGAGAGACCAGAGAGAGAGACCAGAGAGAGACCAGAGAGAGACCAGAGAGAGAGATCAGAGAGAGACCAGAGAGAGGCCAGAGAAAGATCAGAGAGAGACATCAGAGAGAGACCAGAGAGAAGCCAGAGAGAGGCCAGAGAGACCAGAGAGAGAGACCAGAGAGAGCAGAGAGAGAGGCCAGAGAGGGACCAGAGAGAGAGATCAGAGAGAGACCAGAGAGAGACATCAGAGAGATCACAGAGAGAGGCCAGAGAGAGACCAGCGAGAGACCAGAGAGAGACCAGAGAGAGACCAGAGAGAGAGGCCAGAGAGAGACCAGAGAGAGAGGCCAGAGAGAGACCAGAGAGAGACCAGAGAGAGAGAGAGAGCAGAGAGAGAGGCCAGAGAGAGACCAGAGACAGTAGAGAGAGAGGCCAGAGAGAGACCAGAGAGAGAGACCAGAGAGAGACCAGAGAGAGAGATCAGAGAGAGACCAGGAAGAGACCAGAGAGAGACATCATAGAGAGACCAGAAAGAGACCAGAGAGAGACCAGAGAGAAGCCAGAGAGAGACCAGAGAGAAACCAGAGAGAGACCAGAGAGAGATACCAGAGAGAGATTAGAGAGAGAGATCAGAGAGAGACCAGAGAGAGACCAGAGAGAGACATCAGAGAGAGACCACAGAGAGAGGCCAGAGAGAGACCAGAGAGAGACCAGAGAGAGACCAGAGAGAGACCAGAGAGAGAGGCCAGAGAGAGACCAGAGAGAGACAAGAGAGAGAGGCCAGAGAGAGAGGCCAGAGAGAGACCATAGAGAGACATCAGAGAGAGACCACAGAGAGAGGCCAGAGAGAGACCAGAGAGAGACCAGAGAGAGACCAGAGAGAGAGGCCAGAGAGAGACCAGAGAGAGACAAGAGAGAGAGGCCAGAGAGAGACCAGAGAGAGACCAGAGAGAGAGGCCAGAGAGAGACCAGAGACAGAGACCAGAGAGAGACCAGAGAGAGAGATCAGAGAGAGACCAGAGAGAGACCAGAGAGAGACATCAGAGAGAGACCAGAGAGAGACCAGAGAGAGACCAGAGAGAGACCAGAGAGAGACCAGAGAGAGACCAGAGAGAGACCAGAGAGAGACCAGAGAGAGACCAGAGAGAAGCCAGAGAGAGACCAGAGAGAAACCAGAGAGAGACCAGAGAGAGACCAGAGAGACCAGAGAGAGATACCAGAGAGAGATTAGAGAGAGAGATCAGAGAGAGACCAGAGAGAGACCAGAGAGAGACATCAGAGAGAGACCACAGAGAGAGGCCAGAGAGAGACCAGAGAGAGACCAGAGAGAGACCAGAGAGAGAGGCCAGAGAGAGACCAGAGAGAGACAAGAGAGAGAGGCCAGAGAGAGACCAGAGAGAGAGGCCAGAGAGAGACCAGAGAGAGACATCAGAGAGAGACCACAGAGAGAGGCCAGAGAGAGACCAGAGAGAGAGGCCAGAGAGAGACCAGAGAGAGACAAGAGAGAGAGGCCAGAGAGAGACCAGAGAGAGACCAGAGAGAGAGGCCAGAGAGAGACCAGAGAGAGACATCAGAGAGAGACCAGAGAGAGAGGCCAGAGAGAGACCAGAGAGAGACCAGAGAGAGAGGCCAGAGAGAGGCAAGAGAGAGACCAGAGAGAGACCAGAGAGAGACCAGAGAGAGAGGCCAGAGAGAGAGCAGAGAGAGAGCAGAGAGAGAGGCCAGAGAGAGAGCAGAGAGAGAGGCCAGAGAGAGACCAGAGAGAGAGACCAGAGAGAGACCAGAGAGAGAGATCAGAGAGAGACCAGAGAGAGACCAGAGAGAGACATCAGAGAGAGACCAGAGAGAGACCAGAGAAAGACCAGAGAGAGACATCAGAAAGAGACCAGAGAGAGACCAGAGAGAGACCAGAGAGAAGCCAGAGAGAGACATCAGAGAGAGACCAGAGAAAGACCAGAGAGAGACATCAGAAAGAGACCAGAGAGACATCAGAAAGAGACCAGAGAGAGGCCAGAGAGAGGCCTGAGAGAGACCAGAGGGAAAGACAGGCAATAGTCATTCATAAATATTGTTCTCAATGAAAATATTGGTTTCTGAAAGAACTCAGGTTGGAATCGTAAGAACAGAGAATCTCGCTGGTCTCCTTCTGTTCTCCTCCTGTTCTCCTCCTGGTCTTCTCCTGGTCTCCTCCTGCTCTCCTTGTCCACACTCACACTACACAACCATCACCGTTTCCTACTCTGTCTTTTCTTATGTAAGATGGAGATCTGCATACAATCCCAGCAGAACTCAGGCGCTGCCACTGGACGCTAAAAATAGCCCAACGAGACCTGATTATGAGACAGTGGAGGAGGACGAGGAGAAGTCTTTGTGAGAAAATGACATTATTCTCTCTTTGGCAAAACGTCTCTGACACAAGAAAGCATCGAGAGCAAAAATAGATACGTATTTATAGCAACGTTAATCCCAGCAGTTATTATGTCTCTCACTGAAACCTATAGACCCAGGACTGAGGCTGTAGACCCAGGACTGAGGCTGTAGACCCAGGACTGAGACTGTAGACCCAGGACTGAGGCTGTAGACCCAGGACTGAGACTGTAGATCCAGGACTGAGGCTGCAGACCCAGGACTGAGGCTGTAGATCCAGGACTGAGCTGTAGACCCAGGACTGAGACTGTAGATCCAGGACTGAGGCTGTAGACCCAGGACTGAGGCTGTAGATCCAGGACTGAGCTGTAGACCCAGGACTGAGGCTGTAGATCCAGGACTGAGGCTGAGGAGGAGGAGAAGGGGAGGAGGATGAGGAGGTGCTGTTTGTGGCCAGCAGAGGGAGCTCCTCAGTCTGTTCTGGAAGAGAGGATTCTTGCCTTGAGCCTCATGAGAACAATAGAAAGTGACAAGTTGAATATAGAGAAAGAAACAATGTCTGTGTGTTTGTCTCTGTGTGTGTGTGTGGGTGACAGTGTGGTGTGTGTGTATCTGTATGTGTATGTCTCTGTGTGTGTGTGTGTCTCTGTGTGTATGTGTGCGTGTGTGTGAGTGTGTGAGTGTGTGTGTGAGTGTGTGGAGGAAGTGGAGAGGGCACAGATCTGATGTAACCTCGTCAGCCGTAGCTGCCCTGCTCCTGACAGCTCCGTGAGAGGAACGACCTCTCTCTGCTCCGAGTTTCCTCCTTCATTACTTCCATTTCCTCTGATGCTGTTTTCACGCATCGTCAACTCGTCAGAAAGACTTTAGACCCAGGACTGAGGCTGTAGACCCAGGACTGAGGCTGTAGACCCAGGACTGCGGCTGTAGACCCAGGACTGCGGCTGTAGACCCAGGACTGCGGCTGTAGACCCAGGACTGAGGCTGTAGATCCAGGATTGAGGCTGTAGACCCAGGACTGAGGCTGTAGACCCAGGACTGAGGCTGTAGACCCAGGACTGAGGCTGTAGACCCAGGACTGAGGCTGTAGACCCAGGACTGCGGCTGTAGGCCCAGGACTGAGGCTGTAGACCCAGGACTGAGGCTGTAGACCCAGGATTGTAGTAGTTTATCACTTCTGTGTATGGAATGATTGCTCTATTATTATTATTTTAGTTTTTGTGACAGAAAATGTGAGACTGGAGCAGATTTTGACCCGCAGAGAAACTCAAACTATTTTTAGCTCAGATGCAGAGTCGGAGCGAGCGCCGAGAGGAAGGAGGAGAAGAGCTCTGTGTTAAAACCGTTTTTGAAATGAGGATTAAGCTGAGGCTGATGTGTTCGAGCTCGAGGCGGAAAGAGCGAGCGGCCGAGGTGAAACAGGACCAGACCGGGTTTACAAAGTCTGAGACATGGGGATCTGAGAAACAGGAACTCAGACTCTGAGATTTTATTATTATTATTATTATTATTATTATTTAAACAAGAGAAAAGAGACGACCTTTTCCTGTCCCATGTATCAGTGCCATCTCGCCTCAAAGGAAGCTCATAAAAATCCAGCTGTGTTTTGACTTTTGTCGGCTGCAGAGAGATCTTTGTCAGGGCCTGGTTCTCAGTGAGGGACTGTTGTGGTCAAGAGGGAGCAGCGTCTGCAGCCAGAGCTCTATGTCCCCCCTCTGTGCACATCTACATCTCCACATTTACCTAAGAACTAGAGGATCACTCAACTACAGCAGGTCTAAACCAGGACTGAACCAGGACTTAACCAGGACTGAACCAGGACTGAACCAGGTCTAAACCAGGACTGAACCAGGTCTAAACCAGGACTGAACCAGGACTGAACCAGGTCTTAACCAGGACTGAACCAGGACTGAACCAGGTCTAAACCAGGACTGAACCAGGACTGAACCAGGTCTAAACCAGGACTGAACCAGGACTGAACCAGGACTGAACCAGGACTGAACCAGGTCTAAACCAGGACTGAACCAGGTTTGAACCCTTTATAACTTCACTTTAGTGCTGTCACTGCACTGCTTACTTGTATGTTGTACGTAGTAAGAATTGTAATCTTTAGACCTAATAACGAAGGTAGAAGTGTTGCTGATTGTTCTGATGCCTCACTCTGTTCTTCACCTCACTCTGTTCTTCCCCTCACTCTGTTCTTCCCCTCACTCTGTTCTTCACCTCACTCTGTTCTTCCCCTCACTCTGTTCTTCACCTCACTCTGTTCTTCACCTCACTCTGTTCTTCACCTCACTCTGTTCTTCCCCTCACTCTGTTCTTCACCTCACTCTGTTCTTCACCTCCGTCTGTTCTTCACCTCACTCTGTTCTTCACCTCACTCTGTTCTTCACCTCACTCTGCTCTTCACCTCCGTCTGTTCTTCACCTCACTCTGTTCTTCACCTCCGTCTGTTCTTCACCTCACTCTGTTCTTCACCTCACTCTGTTCTTCACCTCACTCTGTTCTTCACCTCCGTCTGTTCTTCACCTCACTCTGTTCTTCACCTCCGTCTGTTCTTCACCTCACTCTGTTCTTCAACTCACTCTGTTCTTCACCTCACTCTGTTCTTCACCTCCGTCTGTTCTTCACCTCACTCTGTTCTTCACCTCCGTCTGTTCTTCACCTCACTCTGTTCTTCACCTCACTCTGTTCTTCACCTCACTCTGTTCTTCACCTCCGTCTGTGACTTACATGGAAATAAGAAAGTCTCTGATTCAGAGACTACACTCGGACCCAAAGGTCGAGTCAGTCGGACTAATATCACAATCATTTCCTTTTTCTATTTGTTTTAAATGATCTCTGTCTCAGAGCAACAGAATTTCACTCTGAGGCAGATGTGTTTGATTAGTCATCACATAAAGACGAGAGAAAGGAGACGAGAGAGCGGAGACAAGAGAGAGAGGAGACGAAAGAGAGGAGAAGAGAGAGCGGAGACGAGAGAGAGGAGACGAGAGAGAGGAAACGAGAGAGCGGAGACGAGAAAGAGGAGACGAGAGAGCGGAGACGAGAGAGAGGAGACGAGAAAAAGGAGACGAGAGAGCGGAGACGAGAGAGCGTAGACGAGAGAGCAGAGACGAGAGAAAGGAGACCAGAGAGAGGAGACCAGAGAGAGAGGACACGAGAGAGAGGAGAGGAGACGAGAGAGAGAGGAGACGAGAGAGCGGAGACGAGAGAGATGAGACGAGAGAGAGGAAACGAGAGTGCTGAGACGAGAAAGAGGAGACGAGAGAGCGGAGATGAGAGAGCGGAGACGAGAGAGCAGAGACGAGAGAGCGGAGACGAGAGAGAAGAGACGAGAGAAAGGAGACAAGAGAGAGAGGAGACCAGAAAGAGAGGAGACGAGAGAAAGAGACGAGAGAGCGGAGACGAGAGAGAGGAGACGAGAGAGAGGAGACGAGAGAGGAAACGAGAGAGTGGAGACGAGAGAGAGAAGAGATGAGATGAGAGAGACGAGATGAGAGAGGAGACGAGAGAGGAGACGCGAGAGAGGAGACGAGAGAGAGGAGACGAGAGAGAGAAGAGATGAGATGAGAGAGAGGAGATGAGAGAGGAGACGAGAGAAAGGAGACGAGAGAGAGAGGAGACCAGAAAGAGAGGAGACGAGAGAGAAGACGAGAGAGAGAAGACGAAAGAGAGGAGACGAGAGAGAGGAGACGAGAGAAAGGAGACCAGAGAGAGGAGATGAGAGAGAGAAGAGACGAGAGAGCGGAGACGAGAGAGAGGAGCAACAGAATTTCACTCTGAGGCAGATGTGTTTGATTAGTCATCACATAAAGACGAGAGAGAGGAGACGAGAGGGGGAGGAGACGAGAGAGAGGAGACGAGAGAGAGGAGACGAGAGAGCGGAGACGAGAGAGCGGAGACGAGAGAGAGGAGACGAGAGAGCGAAGACGAGAGAGGGAGGATACGAGAGAGCGGAGGAGACGAGAGAGCGGAGGAGACGAGAAAGCGGAGACGAGAGAGAGGAGACGAGAGAGCGGAGACGAGAGAGCGGAGACGAGTGAGAGGAGACAAGAGAGCGAAGGAGACGAGAGAGCGGAGACGAGAGAGAGGAAACGAGAGAGCGGAGGAGACGAGAGAGCGGAGACGAGAGAGAGGAGACGGGAGAAAGGAGACGAGAGAGCGGAGACAAGAGAGAGAGGAGACGAAAGAGAGGAGAAGAGAGAGCGGAGACGAGAGAGAGGAGACGAGAGAGCGGAGACGAGAAAGAGGAGACGAGAGAGCGGAGACGAGAGAGAGGAGACGAGAGAAAGGAGACGAGAGAGCGGAGACGAGAGAGCGGAGACGAGAGAAAGGAGACCAGAGAGAGGAGACCAGAGAGAGAGGACGACAGAGAGGACACGAGAGAGAGGAGAGGAGACGAGAGAGAGGAGAGGAGACGAGAGAGAGAGGAGACGAGAGAGCGGAGACGAGAGAGATGAGACGAGAGAGAGGAAACGAGAGTGCTGAGACGAGAAAGAGGAGACGAGAGAGCGGAGATGAGAGAGCGGAGACGAGAGAGCAGAGACGAGAGAGCGGAGACGAGAGAGAAGAGACGAGAGAAAGGAGACGAGAGAGAGAGGAGACCAGAAAGAGAGGAGACGAGAGAAAGAGACGAGAGAGCGGAGACCAGAGAGAGGAGACGAGAGAGAGGAGACGAGAGAGAGGAAACGAGAGAGTGGAGACGAGAGAGAGGAGACGAGAGAGAGAAGAGATGAGATGAGAGAGACGAGATGAGAGAGGAGACGAGAGAGGAGGAGGAGACGAGAGAGAGAGAAGAGATGAGATGAGAGAGAGGAGATGAGAGAGGAGACGAGAGAAAGGAGACGAGAGAGAGAGGAGACCAGAAAGAGAGGAGACGAGAGAGAAGACGAGAGAGCGGAGACGAAAGAGAGGAGACGAGAGAGAGGAGACGAGAGAAAGGAGACCAGAGAGAGGAGATGAGAGAGAGAAGAGACGAGAGAGCGGAGACGAGAGAGAGGAGACGAGAGAGAGGAGATGAGAGAAAGGAGATGAGAGAGGAGACGAGAGAGGAGACGAGAGAGAGGAGACGAGAGGGGGAGGAGACGAGAGAGCGGAGACGAAAGAGGGAGGAGACGAGAGAGAGGAGACGAGAGAGCGGAGACGAGAGAAGGAGGAGAAGAGAGAGTGTTCTTCACCTCCGTCTGTGACTTACATGGAAATAAGAAAGTCTCTCATTCAGAGACTACACTCGGACCCAAAGGTCGAGTCAGTCGGACTAATATCACAATCATTTCCTTTTTCTATTTGTTTTAAATGATCTCTGTCTCAGAGCAACAGAATTTCACTCTGAGGCAGATGTGTTTGATTAGTCATCACATAAAGACGAGAGAGAGGAAACGAGAGGGGGAGGAGACGAGAGAGAGGAGACGAGAGAGAGGAGACGAGAGAGCGGAGACGAGAGAGCGTAGACAAGAGAGAGGAGACGAGAGAGCGGAGACGAGAGAGGGAGGATACGAGAGAGCGGAGGAGACGAGAGAGCGGAGACGAGAGAGAGGAGACGAGAGAGCGGAGACGAGAGAGCGGAGACGAGTGAGAGGAGACAAGAGAGCGAAGGAGACGAGAGAGCGGAGACGAGAGAGAGGAAACGAGAGAGCGGAGGAGACGAGAGAGCGGAGACGAGAGAGAAGAGACGAGAGAAAGGAGACGAGAGAGAGAGGAGACCAGAAAGAGAGGAGACGAGAGAAAGAGACGAGAGAGAGGAGACGAGAGAGAGAGGAGACCAGAAAGAGAGGAGACGAGAGAAAGAGACGAGAGAGCGGAGACAAGAGAGAGGAGACGAGAGAGAGGAGACGAGAGAGAGGAAACGAGAGAGTGGGAGACGAGAGAGAGGAGACGAGAGAGAGAAGAGATGAGATGAGAGAGACGAGATGAGAGAGGAGACGAGAGAGGAGACGCGAGAGAGGAGACGAGAGAGAGGAGACGAGAGAGAGAAGAGATGAGATGAGAGAGAGGAGATGAGAGAGGAGACGAGAGAAAGGAGACGAGAGAGAGAGGAGACCAGAAAGAGAGGAGACGAGAGAGAAGACGAGAGAGCGGAGACGAAAGAGAGGAGACGAGAGAGAGGAGACGAGAGAAAGGAGACCAGAGAGAGGAGATGAGAGAGAGAAGAGACGAGAGAGCGGAGACGAGAGAGAGGAGACGAGAGAGAGGAGATGAGAGAAAGGAGATGAGAGAGGAGACGAGAGAGGAGACGAGAGAGAGGAGACGAGAGGGGGAGGAGACGAGAGAGCGGAGACGAAAGAGGGAGGAGACGAGAGAGAGGAGACGAGAGAGCGTAGACGAGAGAGAGGAGACGAGAGAGCGGAGACGAGAGAGGGAGGATACGAGAGAGCGGAGGAGACGAGAGAGCGGAGGAGACGAGAGAGCGGAGACGAGAGAGAGGAGACGAGAGAGCGGAGACGAGTGAGAGGAGACAAGAGAGCGAAGGAGACGAGAGAGCGGAGACGAGAGAGAGGAAACGAGAGAGCGGAGGAGACGAGAGAGCGGAGACGAGAGAGAAGAGACGAGAGAAAGGAGACGAGAGAGAGAGGAGACCAGCAAGAGAGGAGACGAGAGAAAGAGACGAGAGAGCGGAGACCAGAGAGAGGAGACGAGAGAGAGGAGACGAGAGAGAGGAAACGAGAGAGTGGAGACGAGAGAGAGGAGACGAGAGAGAGAAGAGATGAGATGAGAGAGACGAGATGAGAGAGGAGACAAAGAGGAGACGCGAGAGAGGAGACGAGAGAGAGGAGACGAGAGAGAGAAGAGATGAGATGAGAGAGAGGAGATGAGAGAGGAGACGAGAGAAAGGAGACGAGAGAGAGAGGAGACCAGATAGAGAGGAGACGAGAGAGAAGACGAGAGAGCGGAGACGAAAGAGAGGAGACGAGAGAGAGGAGACGAGAGAAAGGAGACCAGAGAGAGGAGATGAGAGAGAGAAGAGACGAGAGAGCGGAGACGAGAGAGAGGAGACGAGAGAGGAGATGAGAGAAAGGAGATGAGAGAGGAGACGAGAGAGGAGACGAGAGAGAGGAGACGAGAGGGGGAGGAGACGAGAGAGCGGAGACGAAAGAGGGAGGAGACGAGAGAGAGGAGACGAGAGGGGGAGGAGACGAGAGAGCGGAGACGAAAGAGGGAGGAGACGAGAGAGAGGAGACGAGAGAGCGGAGACGAGAGAGGGAGGAGAAGAGAGAGTGTTCTTCACCTCCGTCTGTGACTTACATGGAAATAAGAAAGTCTCTGATTCAGAGACTACACTCGGACCCAAAGGTCGAGTCAGTCGGACTAATATCACAATCATTTCCTTTTTCTATTTGTTTTAAATAATCTCTGTCTCAGAGCAACAGAATTTCACTCTGAGGCAGATGTGTTTGATTAGTCATCACATAAAGACGAGAGAGAGGAGACGAGAGGGGGAGGAGACGAGAGAGAGGAGACGAGAGAGCGGAGACGAGAGAGCGGAGACGAGAGAGCGGAGACGAGAGGGAGGATACGAGAGAGCGGAGGAGACGAGAGAGCGGAGGAGATGAGAGAGCGGAGGAGACGAGAGAGCGGAGACGAGAGAGCGGAGACGAGAGAGCGGAGACGAGTGAGAGGAGACAAGAGAGCGAAGGAGACGAGAGAGCGGAGACGAGAGAGAGGAAACGAGAGAGCGGAGGAGACGAGAGAGCGGAGACGAGAGAGGAGACGGGAGAAAGGAGACGAGAGAGCGGAGACAAGAGAGAGAGGAGACGAAAGAGAGGAGAAGAGAGAGCGGAGACGAGAGAGAGGAGACGAGAGAGAGGAAACGAGAGAGCGGAGACGAGAAAGAGGAGACGAGAGAGCGGAGGCGAGAGAGAGGAGACGAGAGAAAGGAGACGAGAGAGCGGAGACGAGAGAGCAGAGACGAGAGAAAGGAGACCAGAGAGAGAGGAGACCAGAAAGAGAGGAGACGAGAGAAAGAGACGAGAGAGCGGAGACCAGAGAGAGGAGACGAGAGAGAGGAGACGAGAGAGAGGAAACGAGAGAGTGGAGACGAGAGAGAGGAGACGAGAGAGAGAAGAGATGAGATGAAAGAGACGAGATGAGAGAGGAGACGAGAGAAAGGAGACGAGAGAGAGGAGACGAGAGAAAGGAGACCAGAGAGAGAGGAGACCAGAAAGAGAGGAGACGAGAGAGAAGACGAGAGAGCGAAGACGAAAGAGAGGAGACGAGAGAGAGGAGATGAGAGAAAGGAGATGAGAGAGGAGACGAGAGAGGAGACGAGAGAGAGGAGACGAGAGGGGGAGGAGACGAGAGAGCGGAGACGAAAGAGGGAGGAGACGAGAGAGCGGAGACGAGAGAGGGAGGAGAAGAGAGAGAGGAGACGAGAGAGAGGAGACGAGAGAGCGGAGACGAGAGAGGAGACAAGAGAGCGCAGGAGACGAGAAAGAGGAGACGAGAGAGGAGACGAGAGAGAGAGAGAGAGAGAGAGAGAGAGGAGACGAGAGAGCGAGAGAGAGAGAGAGGAGATGAGAGAGGAGACGAAAGAGAGGAGACGAGAGAGAGGAAACGAGAGAGAGGAGACGAGAGAGAGGAGACGAGAGAGAGAAGAGATGAGATGAGAGAGAGGAGATGAGAGAGGAGACGAGAGAGGAGACGAGGGAGAGGAGACGAGAGAGAGGAGACGAGAGAGCGGAGACGAGAGAGAGGAGACGAGAGAGAGGAGACGAGAGAGCGGAGACGAGAGAGATGAGACGAGAGAGCGGAGACGAGAGAGAGGAGACGAGAGAGCGGAGACGAGAGAGGAGACGAGAGAGAGGAGACGGGAGAGAGGAGACGAGAGAGCGGAGACGAGAGAGAGGAGACGAGAGAGAGGAGACCAGAGAGAGGAGACCAGAGAGAAGAGACGAGAGAGCGGAGACGAGAGAGGGAGGAGAAGAGAGAGAGGAGACGAGAGAGAGGAGACGAGAGAGCGGAGACGAGAGAGGAGACAAGAGAGCGGACGAGACGAGAAAGAGGAGACGAGAGAGAGGAGACGAGAGAGAGGAGACGAGAGAGAGGAGACGAGAGAGAGGAGACGAGAGAGCGGAGACGAGAGAGAGGAGATGAGAGAGGAGACGAGAGAGAGGAAACGAGAGAGAGGAGACGAGAGAGAGAAGAGATGAGATGTGAGAGAGGAGATGAGAGAGGAGACGAGAGAGGAGACGAGAGAGAGGAGACGAGAGAGCGGAGACGAGAAAGAGGAGACGATAGAGAGGAGACGATAGAGAGGAGACGATAGAGAGGAGACAAGAGAGAGCGGAGACAAGTGAGAGAGGAGACGAGAGAGAGAAGACGAGAGAGAGGAGACAAGAGAGAGCGGAGAGACAAGAGAGAGAGGAGACAAGAGAGAGAGGAGACGAGAGAGAGCGGAGACGAGAGAGAGGAGATGAGAGGAGACAAGAGAGGAAACGATAGAGAGAGGAGACGAGAGAGAGGAAACGAGAGAGAGGAGACGAGAGAGAGGAGACGAGAGAGAGGAGACGAGAGAGCGGGGATGAGAGAGAGGAGACGAGAGAGAGAGGAGACGAAAGAGAGGAGACGAGAGAGCGGAGACGAGAGAGAGGAGACGAGAGAGAGGAAACGAGAGAGCGGAGACAAGAAAGAGGAGACGAGAGAGCGGAGACGAGAGAAAGGAGACAAGAGAGCGGAGACGAGAGAGCAGAGACGAGAAAGAGGAGACGAGAGAGAAGAGACGAGAGAAAGGAGACGAGAGAGAGAGGAGACCAGAAAGAGGGGAGACGAGAGAAAGAGACGAGAGAGCGGAGACGAGAGAGAGGAGACGAGAGAGAGGAGACGAGAGAGAGGAGACGAGAGAGAGGAGACGAGAGAGCGGAGACGAGAGAGAGGAGATGAGAGAGGAGACGAGAGAGGAGACGAGAGAGAGGAAAAGAGAGAGAGGAGACGAGAGAGCGGAGACGAGAGAGAGGAGACAAGAGAGAGGAGACGGGATAGAGGAGACGAGAGAGCGGAGACGAGAGAGAGGAGACGAGAGAGAGGAGACCAGAGAGAGGAGACGAGAGAGCGGAGACGAGAGGAGACGAGGGAGAGAGGAGACGAAAGAGAGGAGACGAGAGAGCGGAGACGAGAGAGGAAACGAGAGAGCTGAGACGAGAAAGAGGAGACGAGAGAGCGGAGATGAGAGAGCGGAGACGAGAGAGCAGAGACGAGAGAGAGGAGACAAGAGAGAAGAGACGAGAGAAAGGAGAGGAGAGAGAGAGGAGACCAGAAAGAGAGGAGACGAGAGAGCGGAGACGAGAGAGAGGAGACGATAGAGAGGAGACAAGAGAGAGCGGAGACAAGTGAGAGAGGAGACGAGAGAGAGCGGAGATGAGAGAGAGGAGACGAGAGAGAGGAGACGAGAGAGAGAGGAGACGAGAGAGAGGAAACGAGAGAGTGGAGACGAGAGAGAGGAGACGAGAGAGAGAAGAGATGAGATGAGAGAGCGGAGACGAGGGAGCGGAGACAAGAGAGAGGAGACGAGAGAGCGGAGGAGACGAGAGAGCGGAGACGAGAGAGAGGAGACGAGAGAGCGGAGACCAAAGAGAGGAGACGAGGGAGCGGAGGTGACGAGAGAACAGAGATGAGAGAGAGAAGACGGGAGAGAGGAGACGAGAGAGAGGAGACGAGAAAGAGGAGACGAGAGAGAGGAGACGAAAGAGAGGAGACGAGAGAGGAGACGAGAGAGAGAGGAGACCAGAGAGAGAGGAGACCAGAGAGAGAGGAGATGAGAGAGAGGAGACGAGAGAGAGGAGACGAGAGAGAGGAGATGAGAGAGAGGAGATGAGAGAGAGGAGACGAGAGAGAGGAGATGAGAGAGAGGAGATGAGAGAGAGGAGACGAGAGTGAGAGGAGACGAGAGAGAGGAGAAGAGAGAGAGAGAGAAGACGAGAAAGAGGAGATGAGAGAGAGGAGACGAGAGAGAGAGGAGACGAGAGAGAGAGGAGACGATAGAGAGGAGACGAGAGAGAGGAGACGAGAGAGAGAGGAGACGAGAGAGTGGAGACGAGAGAGAGAGGAGACGACAGAGGAGAGAGAGAGAGAGAGGAGACGAGAGAGAGGAGACGAGAGAGAGAGAGGAGACGAGAGAGAGATGAGAAAGAAGACGAGAGAGGGAGGAGACGAGAGAGAGAGGAGACGAGAGAGAGAGGAGACTAGAGAGAGGAGATGAGAGAGAGGAGACGAGAGAGAGGAGATGAGAGAGAGGAGATGAGAGAGAGAAGACGAGAGAGAGAGGAGACGAGAGAGAGGAGAGAGAGAGAGAGAGAGAGAAGACGAGAAAGAGGAGATGAGAGAGAGGAGACGAGAGAGAGAGGAGACGATAGAGAGGAGACGAGAGAGAGGAGACGAGAGAGAGAGGAGACGAGAGAGAGGAGACAAGAGAGAGACGAGACGAGAGAGAGAGGAGACGAGAGAGAGGAGACGAGAGAGAGGAGACGAGAGAGAGAGGAGACGAGAGAGGAGACGAGAGAGAGGAGACGAGAGAGAGGAGATAAGAGAGAGGAGACGAGAGAGAGGAGACGAGATAGCGGAGACGAGAGAGAGAGGAGACGAGAGAAAGAGGAGACGAGAGAGAGGAGACGAGAGAGAGAGAGAAGACGAGAGTGAGGAGACGAGAGAGAGAGGAGATCAGAGAGGAGACGAGAGAGAGGAGACGAGAGAGAGAGGAGTCGAGAGAGAGAGAGAAGACGAGAGAGAGGAGACGAGAGAGAGAGGAGACGAGAGAGAGGAGACGAGAGAGAGGAGACGAGAGAGAGAGGAGACGAGAGAGAGAGGAGACGAGAGAGAGGAGACGAGAGAGAGAGGAGAAGAAAGAGAGGAGACAAGAGAGGAGACGAGAGAGAGAGGAGACCAGAGAGAGGAGACCAGAGAGGAGACCAGAGAGGAGACCAGAGAGAGAGGAGACCAGAGAGAGAGGAGATGAGAGAGAGGAGACGAGAGAGAGGAGATGAGAGAGAGGAGACCAGAGAGAGAGGAGATGAGAGAGAGGAGACGAGAGAGAGGAGACGAGAGAGAGAGAGGAGACCAGAGAGAGAGGAGATGAGAGAGAGGAGACCAGAGAGAGAGCGGAGACGACATTAGAACTGACAGAGCAGCGAGAGACGACTGGAGCTCACGGCCTCTGGTGAGATTCTGATTCACCACATTAGACTCTGCCCCAAAGGAGAAGCTGACACACAGGACTGAGGCTGTAGACCCGGGACTGAGGCAGGTGCAGATGGAGGGGGCCGGGTTCAGGGGTCCCATCATCACACCATGGAACAGACAATGGGACAGGGGGTGAATAGCAATGAACAGACTACAGCAGAAATCATAATAACGACAGATAAAGAAGAGAACCGTGCAGACTCGCTTTTCTCCAGCAGGGGGCTCCATAGTCCCCTGTGTGTTTTATACCCCAACAGTTGTTCCTCCAGGGGGCGCTCTGGCTAACTAAACGTATAGAATAGTATCTTGTGTATGTAGAATAGTATCTTGTGTATGTAACGTTTCCTGTGACAAAATTATCTCAATGTTAAAAATGGAAATAATCTCAGAATTATTGTTATTATCATTGTAAGAACCAGGAAGTCACAAACATGGAATCTGCTTTGGCTCAAGATGAAAACAGTTAAAAGAGTCAAATAAATGAATAATAGAGGTCAGGCCACATACAAACATACTACTGTTTATTACTGCACAGGAGAGAGGAGGAGAGAGAGGCGGAGAGAGGAGAGGAGAGAGGAGGAGAGAGAGGAGAGGTTAGAGAGAGGAGAGAGGAGAGAGGAGAGGAGAGAGGAGAAGAGGAGAGAGAGGAGAGGTTAGAGAGAGGAGAGAGGAGAGAGGAGAGGAGAGAGGAGAGGAGAGAGGAGAGGAGAGAGGAGGAGAGAGAGGAGAGGTTAGAGAGAGGAGAGAGGAGAGGAGAGGAGAGAGAGGAGAGAGGAGGAGAGAGGAGAGGAAAGGAGAGAGGAGGAGAGAGAGGAGAGGAGGAGAGAGAGGAGAGGAGGAGAGAGTGGAGAGAGGGGAGGAGGAAAGAGAGGAGGAGAGGAGAGGAGAGAGAGGAGAGGAGGGGAGGGGAGGAGAGGAGAGGAGAGGAGAAGAGGAGAGGAGAAGAGGAGGGGGGAGAGGAGAGAAGAGGAGAGGAGAGAAGAAGAGAGGAGAGGAGAGAGGAGAGAGAGGAGAAGAGGAGGGGGGAGAGGAGAGAAGAGGAGACGAGAGGAGAGGAGAGGAGAGAGAGGAGGGGAGAGAGGAGACGAGAGGAGAAGAGGAGAGGAGAGAGGTGAGGAGGGGAGAGAGGAGAGAAGAGGAGAGGAGAGAAGCGGAGAGGAGAGAGGAGAGAGGAGGGGAGAGAGAAGAGAAGAGGAGAGGAGAGAAGAGGAGAGAGGAGGAGAGAGGAGAGGAGAGGAGAGAGAGGATGGGAGAGAGGAGAGGAGGGGGCGGAGGAGAGGAGCAAAGAGAGAGGAGAGAGATCAGGAGAAAGGAGCAAGGAGAAAAGAGAGGAGAGGAGATAGAAGAAAGGAGATATGGGGGGAAAAGGAAAGAAAGAGGAGTGCGAAGAGGAGCCGTGCTGGGGGCAGGAGCAGCAGAGAGAAGTGGGGGATGAGGATTTTATTTTTAGCTCCTACCCCCATCTCTGTATGTGTCTCTCTGTAGGTGTGTGTGTCTGTGTGTGTGTGTCTCTCTCTGTGTGTGTGTGTGTGTGTCTGTGTGTGTGTGTGTCTCTCTGTAGGTGTGTGTGTCTGTGTGTCTCTCTGTGTGTGTGTGTGTGTGTGTGTGTGTGTGTGTGTGTGTGCGTGTGTGTGTCACTATGTGTGTGTGTATGTTGCCATGTCTTGCTGAGGGGAATGCTGTCCGCTTGTCCTGCTTCTAACGGCAAAGATTCTCAAACTGCGCGTGTACCGCCGAGCGAACGTGGATGCATAGAGACAGACAGAGCGGCGATGGGTGAGGAGGGGGTGAGGAGGGGTGAGGAGGGGGTGAGTTGGTGAGGGCAAAGTCAAAGAGAGAGAGAGAGAGAGAGGAATGGGAAAAAAAGGATGCGATGAATAAGCAATCTTGGTGTGCTATAGTCGCTGGCTTGGCGGGCTCCTACCACACGCACGCGGATTCCACTCCTGCATCTCTGTGTCCTCCTGTGGTCCTTGTCTGTGTCCTGAACCTCTGTCCCCTCCGTCCCCCTCTGTCTGTGGTGTCCTGGGCTGTCTCCGTCCTCCCCCCACTCCCCTAAATGTCAATGTCCCCTCGCATCAGCCCCTGACCCACTGAGCCTCCTCTCCCCACACGCACGCCCCCCAAACCATGCGCGCACGTGGGACCGCTCACGCACAGACATAGAAGGACCACTGCTTGTTTGTTTGGCTATGGGCAATTCTGTAAAGTCGCTTAAAGTTTCCAGCAAGAAGGTAGGTCTGGCTTCTTTGGTGTCCTTCCTGCGTGCGTGTGCGTGTGCGTGTGTGTGTGTGTGTGTGTGTGTGTGTGTGTGTGCGTGTGTGTGTGTGTGTGTTTGTGTGTCTGTGTGCGTGCGTGTGTGTGTGTGTGTGCGGTACCTGACGTGATCTGACCCGACTTGACTTTCCCGCGAGAAATGACATGTGACAGAACCTGCGTGAGGTTTTTAGGCGGTGCGAGGTCAGAATAGCGTTTAGTTTGTGTGTCTTTTGAGCCAATCAGAGAGAGGCACTGGGTCTGTCTCTCAATTACAGTCAAGATGATGCTGGTGCTTGACCTGCTGCCACATGTGAGGATGAGGATGTCAGTGACTGCTGCTGCTGCTGCTGCTGCGGCCTCTGCAGACCCACATGTTCTGCAGGTGAACAGCTGTTGCCAAACACAGAAACCTAGATTTGTTTTGTGCTGAAGCGCAAGAATTTGAACTATTGTCAAAGAATGTGGCCAATATGTCTCTGTAGCCTCATGCTAACATTGTTCTGCACCGGAATATACACTATTTTATAAAGTTTGAGATTTTATACTAGCTTCTTTATTATGCTAAAACTATATTTTATACTAGCTTCTTTATTATGCTAAAGCTATATTTTATACTAGCTTCTTTATTATGCTAAAGCTATATTTTATACTAGCTTCTTTATTATGCTAAAGCTATATTTTATACTAGCTTCTTTATTATGCTAAAGCTATATTTTATACTAGCTTCTTTATTATGCTAAAGCTATATTTTATACTAGCTTCTTTATTATGCTAAAGCTATATTTTAAACTAGCTTCTTTATTATGCTAAAGCTAAAGATTTTAAACTAGCTTCTTTATTGCGCCAAAGTTAGATTTTATATTCTGTACAGAGTAATTGTTCGCTCGTGCTGTGGGCTTCTCATTCCTACTGTTCTGTAACTTGTGATGCAACACTGGAATTTTCCTACTGTTGTACAAATACAAGGTCTGAGTCTTAATCTTAAAACTGAAGCCGCTTTGCTGCATGTCAACAAAATGTGACATCACCAACGACAAAGGCACTGAGCCCTGGGACAGACACAGAATCAATTATTATTATTATTATTATTATTATTATTATTATTATTATTCATCTTTTTAGACAACAGGGATCCTGGGAGCAGCTACAGTGTGCAACAGAAGCTCATCTTTGTACTGTTTTAATATTGAAAGATAACTATAAAACCTGATTCATTTATTAATTGGCCTCATTTTATCTGAGTACTATACCAGAGAGGGACCAGAGGGGGACCAGAGGGGGACCAGAGAGGGACCAGAGAGGGACCAGAGAAAGACCGGAGAGGGACCAGAGAGGGACCAGAGGGGGACCAGAGGGGGACCAGAGAGGGACCAGAGAAAGACCGGAGAGGGACCAGAGAGGGACCAGAGAGAGACCGGAGAGGGACCAGAGAGAGACCAGAGAGAGACCAGAGAGGGACCAGAGAGGGACCAGAGAGGGACCAGAGGGGGACAAGAGAGAGACCAGAGATGGAGAGAGACCAGAGATGGAGAGAGAGGGACCAGAGAGAGACCAGAGAGGGACCAGAGAGGGACCAGAGAGAGACCAGAGAGGGACCAGAGAGAGACCGGAGAGGGACCAGAGAGAGACCAGAGAGAGACCAGAGAGGGACCAGAGAGGGACCAGAGAGGGACCAGAGAGGGACCAGAGAGAGACCGGAGAGGGACCAGAGAGGGACCAGAGAGAGACCAGAGAGAGACCAGAGAGAGACCAGAGAGGGACCAGAGAGAGACCAGAGAGGGACCAGAGTGGGACAAGAGAGGGACAAGAGAGAGACCAGGGACAGACCAGAGAGACCAAAAAGAGAGGGCTCCTGGTCTTCACCTCCTCTTTATGTGTCTCTGGTTCATTCCTGGTCTTCACCTCCTCTCTGGTCTCTGGTTCATTCCTGGTCTTCACCTCCTCTCTGGTCTTTGGTTCATTCCTGGTCTTCACCTCCTCTCTGGTCTCTGGTTCATTCCTGGTCTTCACCTCCTCTCTGGTCTCTGGTTCATTCCTGGTCTTCACCTCCTCTCTTGTCTCTGGTTACATAAACTCTCATAAGGCTCCACGCTTCACTCGCTAACATTAGCCTTTGGCCAGAGCTGGCGGTGGCGTCTGTACCATGTGGGGAACGGCACGATGCCAGATGGATGAAGGTCAGTGTTCAGGCTGTAGAGAGAGAGACCAGAGAGACCAGAGAGAGAGACCAGAGAGAGACTAGAGAGAGACCAGAGAGAGACCAGAGAGGGACTAGAGAGAGACCAGAGAGGGACCAGAGAGGGACTAGAGAGAGACCAGAGAGAGAGACCAGAGAGGGACTAGAGAGAGACCAGAGAGAGAGACCAGAGAGAGAGACCAGAGAGAGACCAGAGAGAGAGACCAGAGAGAGACCAGAGAGAGACCAGAGAGGGACCAGGGAGAGATCAGAGAGAGACTAAACATATTTCTACACTGCAGGTGTAGAGATTATCTAAAAGCTTCAGATCTCAGTGGTTTGTCTCCTCTCTGCTTCTGCCTGATGTCACATGCTGTCAATGAATTAGCATCAGCAGCAGAGAGAGACCAGAGAGAGACCAGCGAGGGACTAGAGAGAGAACAGAGAGATACCAGAGAGCGCTGAAGTAGGAGCTCCGTCTGGTACATGAGTAATTGGTGATTTTAATTAAATAGATTGAGACGCATTAGCTTCTAGTACTCTCTCCGTCACAGTCCAGTCCATTGTTTTCGCTCCAGCAGAATCCAGTTCTTCCAGAGGCAAAAACATGTGACTTTGAGCTTTCCTTTTTTGAGATTATAGAACATACTAAAACAGACTGTATACAGATGGACAATGCTAACACAGACTGTATACAGATGGACAATGCTAACATACACACTGTATGAAGCCCAGTAGGGAAGTGCCCGCAGTGAAGTTTGGTTCCCCTCTCTGGCTCCTTTAGACTTTATGTAAAAGTAAAATCCTCAGTATTTTTGGGCTTAAATGTGTAATTTCTCAGTGATCCTGGTGTTCATACTGTGTGTGATGTTGTCTTTGTAAATCCAGATATGAGCCAAGTAAAGATTGACCAATCAGAGGCCTTCATTCTTAGGGAAAACTCCAGCTTGCCTTAGCAACCGTCTTAAGATCAGAGATTGTTTACTGGTCCCACAGTGAGGAAGAGTTGCAGCGCGGCAAGACAGCAGCAGGAGCACAGGACACACACACACACTGTAAATGTTTTAGAAAGAGTACTTATCAATTTCATGGAATACGTGTAAAATGGGAATTAAAAAATAGTTAATAAAGTGAGATGCAGTGGAAATTCTGAAATTGCACATTGCACATGATTGAGAGAGAGAGAGACCAGAGAGAGACTGAGAGAGACCAGAGGGAGACCAGAGAGACAGAGAGACAAGAGAGAGACCAGAGAGACCTGAGAGAGACCAGAGAGACCTGAGAGAGTCTGAGATAGAGTGACCAGAGAGGGAGACCAGAGAGAGAAAACAGAGTGACCAGAGAGAGAGAGAGAGCGACCGGAGAGAGACCATGAAGAGACTGAGAGAGAAAAGAGAGAGACCAGAAAAAGACCAGAGAGAGACCTGAGAGCGACCAGAGAGAGACCAGAAAGAGACCAGAGAGAGATACTGTACCAGAGAGAAAGCCCAGAAAGAGAAACCAGACAGAGGAAAGAGAGCTAGAGACCGATCACATATTTCCCATTATGTCCGAGTAGCGTCGGACGTGTTGCTGGTGTGAGACGTGTTTGTAACAGGACAGTTTTGCCGACGCCGACGCTGGTACTTTGGTGTGTGTTTGTTTGTTTGGCCGACAGCGGCGTGCAGCAGATGGTTGTGAGACTGTGTCATGACTCAGCGGACGCACACCTCAGTTTGAGCAACACGTGTGTCTGTCAGTCCCTCTGTCCTGCATGCTCTATTACACAAACAGACCAGAGAGAAACCAGAGAGAAACCAGAGAGAGACCAGAGAGAAACCAGAGAGAGACCAGAGAGAGACCAGAGAGAGAGACCAGAGACAATGCAGAGAGAGAGAAACCAGTGAGAGACCAGAGAGAGAGACCGGAAAGACACTAGAGAGAGAGCAGAGAGAGCCCAGAGATAGACTAGAGATAGCGCAGAGAGAGAGACCAGAAAGAGAGACTATGGACAGACCAGAGAGAGAGACCAGAGAGAGACCATAGAAAGAGGCCGGAAAGAGACCAGAGAGAGGGACCAGAGAAGGGGAAGAGGGAGAAACCAGGGAGAGAGACCGGAGAGAGACCAGGGAGAGACCAGAGAGAGAGACCGGAGAGAAAGAAACCAGAGAGAGAGACCGGCAAGAGACCAGAGAGAGAGACCAGAGAATGAGCAGAGGGAAAGACCAGAGAGAGAGATCAGAAAGAGACCAGAGAGAGACCGGCAAGAGACCAGAGAGAGAGACCAGAGAATGAGCAGAGGGAAAGACCAGAGAGAGAGATCAGAAAGAGACCAGAGAGAGACCGGGGAGAGACCAGTTCAACACTGTCTGTCATTCCCTCTGTCTTGTTTGCACGCTCTAAACATAAGTCTCAACCCTCTCTGTGTCTGCCCTGGCCTGGTCTGGTCTGGCCTGGTCCGGTCCTGGTCTGGCTTCAGGAGCAGAAGAAGCGGTACAAGGCAGTGGCTGAGGAGGGGGGAACAGGAGGGGCCCTCGCTCAGAACGGAGCCACGATGCACACCGTGTTGGGGCCCGCCTGCATCTTTCTGAGGAAGGGGTTTGCTGAGAACAGACAGGCTGTACGTAAGTGTGTGTGTGTGTGAGTGTGTGTGCGGGTGCGTGTTTGTGTGTGTGTGTGTGCGTGTGCGTGTGTGTGGGTTTTTAATGTGTGTCTGTGTGTGAGAGTGTGGGTGCGGGTGTGTGTCTGTGTGTAAGTGTAAGTGCGTGTGGGTTAGTGTGTGTTTGTTTATGTGTGTAAGTGTGTCTGTGTGTAAGTGTTTGTGTGTGAGAATGTGTGTCTGTGTGAGTGTGTGAGACTGTGTGTGTGTAATGGTTTATCATATTCATCAGGAGCTAAACAGCGTGAGTAAAATAGAATAGCATAAATGGTAAATAAAAAGGTTTGCTCCAATTTTCATTTATTTGTCACACACACACACAGACACACGCACACACACACACAAAAAGTTTCACACACGCACGCCCCCTGCTGTTTAGACAGAAGAGGTGGAGCAACACGTTTGGGCCAGAAGTTCCTTATTTAAGCATGGATGGAGCTAAAATCAACTCCAGATCAGTGACTGATGAGGAGATAGGTCTGGTTTAAAACAGTATCTTCTAAAAGTAAAATCCTGTAAATCATTAAATAAATATTATAATAAAAATGTAATGTATTTTTAAGGTTAAATTGTTTTTAATCAACTTCAGGATTAAGTCAGTTTTAAACAATTACGTCCCAGATTTAAAAACGTATAGATTTGAATCGTGCTCATATATTCTGCCATTAAAGAACTTCTCTACCCGCTCCTTGAAGCTTACGTCACTCACATTTTCTTTTCAAATCTCCCTCTAAATGGGCGTAGCCTGGAGGACTAAAAGGGGACCAGTGGGGGCGGGTCCTGGGCTCACGGCTCAAAAGTGGCCAAAATGACGTGCGCTGACATGCTGCAATACCACCCCGGGCCGATGGGGGTGGACACGGAATAAGAATTAGCCAATGCTAACATATAGCGTTAGCAGACCTCTCGAAAACGTCTTTACAGGATGGTCCAAAAGTTGGCTCTTGGCCCAAAGCTCCGTTCCACATTTGTGTCAATGCTGAGGGGGGTGTTTTTTACCAGTCTAGTTTACACGCTGAGAATTTTTGAAGGCACTCGTTTAAATTAATGCAGAGGCAGCTGCCGGTGCAGCAGAGGCTGCAGCAGAGCAGGATTACTATTGCAACAACACATCATCAGTAGGGTAAAACTAACCCGTCTCAGAGGCAGCTGAGGCAGCAGACCGCCACAGAATGGGGCCTGTTTCTGAATGATATCGATTAGAGTGGAATAAAAAGTACGAACTGCTTGTCACAGGTAGCCTTCCCTTATTCCCATAGATGACTTTCAACCACGTGACCAAAACTGACGACGTAATCAGTGTCCACCATGTTGGAGGTGAACAAGCTTCAGACAAAGCAAGTTTGTGTTTGTGTCAGTTGTTTTTGCTTGGGTAAGTAATAAAGATAATGTATCAGTCATTTTTGAGTTTAGCTTTGTAGTTTAATGTTTATGACCCCACGCGCGTTGCGTCTTTTATATATTGTATCTACAAATGCTGTTTGTGGATTGTTGTTTCATTCTTTTTTAATCAACCAGTCCCAGCGAGCTCGAGAAACACCATTGAGAACTTGGTTTGTGGCTGAGAATGACGGAAATGTTATGTTCGCGCACTGCTGCATGGCTCGCCTTCATGAAGCTTGTTTGTAGGAGCACTGTTGTTTGCAGTAGAAGCCGCAGTGCGGGGGGTTCAGTTCCCTGTACCCAGGAGAAGAGCAAGTGGGTCATGCCAACCTATTGTCAAAACAATCGCCCTATATTACAACTTGCGAGATGGATTTCAAATCTACAAAAACAAAACATAAACAAAAACGTTAACCAAACAAGTCCGGGAAACGATAAAAAAACTAAATTTGTCCTCGTCACGCTTGCTGTTAGCACAATGAAACACGGCACAATTGTATGGCACTGCTTCAAAGAACTTAAAGGACGCTTGAAAGACTCTAATGTGACATTAGAGAGTGTACTACACCACCAGCATGGCCGACCTCCGGTAAGCCGAGCCTTTTTTCACAGGATGTGACGTCACGTGAAAGTCATCTATACAGTAACCGCTTATGTTGCAGTGCTTTACTTCACAGTTTTGTCTGTACATTTTATGTATGAACCCAGACCAAGATAAACTATATGTTGTGGGGGGTCATATAGTCTCTGCCACAATATCCTGCGGCCACTGCACCAAGGCATTTTGGAAAGAAATGATACCCCAATGTTCACAAAAGAAACAGTAATTTAACACACGCTCAAACATAAAAAGTAGTATTTATTGTACAATAAACAATAAGTACAATAAACAATAAACAATGAAATTGCACACAATATAGAACACTAGTAATACTAACAAAAGTCCTAAGCTAAATTCAGCTAACTAATCTAACAATAAAAGCAACTAACTAAAGCCTAAAACTACATTATTCAACAGCAACGCTATTAACACTACACAATTATCTATAATACAAACAGCTATGCTAATAAAAATCTACCTAAATTCTATAATTAATCGCAAACCTGCCAATTGATGAAAATATTCTCTGCTATTCCTTCTCCAACTTGCTACGGGGGCGTGAACGAGACTGGGCCGTTTATATACCTCAGAGCGGCGGGCTGCTGACGTAACGAGCCACTGCAGACTAAAGGCGCGCTCAGACCGGATCATCAGGTCATCAGGTCGGGTTTCAATGCAAAGTCAATGGTGACGCGCGTTGCAGCGTCAAAACGCACCAACCTCTCGGCACGCACTTACGGACCGCTGAGTAGAGCCGCACGGACTTGGCGGGAAAGTGAAAGGGGAGGAGCAGGAGCGGAAAAAGGACGCCCACAGGAGATAAACTTTGCTCAACTTTCCCTCGGGACGTTCGTGCAGCAACCAATCAGAGAGCCGCAAAGTGGTCACGGGGACATTGGAGGTCTGAGCGAGCAGACTGAACATATAGTTAACAGCCAAAACAGGAACTACATCAGGACTAAACCAGGACTAAACCAGGGTTGACAAAGGGGGACTCTGCTTATGTGTGAAAATATGCGTTGTGATGCTCCCGTGACCTTATGCAACTGCTTCGAGTGTGTTCGCCAATGCGGAAATTCCGTTTAATAATATGAAAAAACTTATGCCGCACCTCCGTGAACACATACTCCTGTCATATAAAGCCCGTGGAAGGTCTCTGTTCAAAGACACGCTGCAAAGCTTTATATTGGAGGAGATCTGTACACAGGAAGCCGCTAGCATAGCTCTATTAGCATTAGAGCCGGCCGGCTACTTCTGGTACTTCCGGCTCGCGTCAGGACTTTCTGGTGTGAAGTCCTCTGCGTCTGAAAACTAGAGAATGCTTCAGCGTTTGAGCGTTTGCGGTCTGAATGCACCATAAAGCAGCCACTGCTGCGGCCAATGGTGGCGCCAGATTCTAAATTAAAATGTAAGTCGCCTGCAGGTGGCGCCTCACAGACGGCGCCTCACAGACGGTTTTAGGCAGAAAGTTGATTTTTCAACTAATTTGCACCAAAGTGACAAAATTATGACCAGGATATGTAGACAACATCATTGGACACTCATTTGTACCGTTTATCGGCAAAAAAGTGGATTTGAGGGTGAGTTGTCCTTTAAATAAAAGGACAGGTTGCCATGGGAACATCCCCCACTGTTCCGGATCCCGATCACGTCACCGGTTGCTAGGTTACGGCGTTCCGTCAAAGCAGTGATGACGTCATAAAGCTCTGAAAAGTTAGCCTTAGGGCAACGTCACGTCTCAGACACAAACACAGCGTTCGGAGTCCGGTTTGAACGAGCAGAAGATTGATTTAACGAGAGCAGGACTTAGACAGAAGCAAAACGGAGGAAAGTCTTAACAGTTGGAGGTTCTAAGACACAGTATGGACGACATTACACTGACCATGGAAGGTCCAGAAGTGGGAGACGTCGGCCCCAAAGATCACGACATCAGAAAGATCCTGTCACAGCTGAACCAGGAGCTGCAGGAGATGGAAGAGATGTTTGAGGACAACATCATTCACAGACAGACGGACCTCCAACCACCCACCTGGTCCAGCAACGAGGTCCAGACTCAGGCCTGGTCCAGCAGCGAGGTCCAGACTCAGGCCTGGTCCAGCAGCGAGGTCCAGACTCAGGCCTGGTCCAGCAGCAAGGTCCAGACACAGGCCTGGTCCAGCAGCGAGGTCCAGACACAGACTCAGGCCTGGTCCAACAGCGAGGTCCAGACTCAGGCCTTGTCCACCTGTGAGGTCCAGACACAGACTCAGGCCTGGTCCACCTGCGAGGTCCAGACACAGACTCAGGCCTGGTCCAACTGCGAGGTCCAGACACAGACTCAGGCCTGGTCCAACTGCGAGGTCCAGACACAGACTCATGCCTGGTCCAGCACCGAGGTCCAGACTCAGACAGTGGACCTGCCATACTCCGAAACCTGGTATGAGGAATTTGAGATTGCGGTGAGGTGTATGCAAGTCAAAGAGGCAGAGTTGGAGCTAGCAAGAGAAAAGTTAGCAAAGAAGGAGAATCAGGAGGTTTGTGAGAAACTGATGCAGCTGCAAACTTTGAACCTCAGTCTGGAGAAAGATCTGGAACAAGCCAACGACAACTCACGTAAACACGAGTCTGAACATCAGGAGGCTTGTGAGAAGTTGAAAGAGCTGCAACTCTCACACGAGAAAGAGCTTCAAGAAAACTTTGAGGAGCTCAGGTTTTTAAAGTAGTCTTTAGAAGAGCGGGACTCAGTTGGAAAAAGTTCAGAGAAACAGATCAGTGAGAATGAGAAACAAAGCCAGAAGATCGAGACGCTGGAACGCCAACTTCAGGAGTTCGAAGAGTTGAGAGAGGAGTTGTCTTGGTCTGTTCGGCAGAATCAAAATCTGGAGAAAGAGCTGCAACTTTTACAGATGAATGTGGAAACGCAGTGTGAAGCCCAGGGTTCAGTTGGCACAAAAACACAGAGTTCAGCTGAGAAGAAGATGGAGATGCTTGAACGCCAACTGAAGGAATTCGAGGGCGTAAAAGAGGAGTATATTTGGTGTGTGGAGCAGAATATGAGTCTTGAGAAAGATCTGGAACAAGCCAAAGAAACCTCACGGAAACATGAGGCCGAACATAAGGAGGCTTGTGAGAAATTGATGGAACTAAAACTGTCACAGACGGAAGCGTTCGACGATCACCTCGAGGAGTTGAGCGTTTTCAAGGAGGGCTTTAAACAACAGGTGGAAGCTCGCAGACGTTTGGAGCAACAAGTAAGCGAGGTCGCACCCCAGGAGAAGCCGTCGGTGTGTGAAACGCAGACGCAAACGGTGGCTAGCCCGGAGATGCTAACCGATCTAAAAGCCGTGAAGGTTGAGACCTCTACCTCAGATGTACCAACGCAGAATCTGGATCAAGCGACAAGGGCCTTATTTGAGAAACCACAGACCAGTGCAGAGGAGTCCAGACCTCAGAGTCACAAGGATGACTGCACAGAGCTCAAGGGAAATGTGAAAAATCTAGCAGAATTATTTGAGAGTAAACTTGAGCAGGACACGCAGAAGCAGGGGCCCGAGCTGCAGAGGAACCGGGTCAAGGGGAAGAGCGTTTCGGCGCTGATGAAAAAGTTTGAGTTTTAAGAGAATAACACATTCTCATCAGCACAGGTCAGACGCTGTAGCTGCTAATTCAAATCTAAAGTCTGAAAGGGGAATGGGGAATTTGGTAAACGTACGTATGAGGCTGTCTCTCTCTGGTCTCTCTGGCTGCTTAAATCTGTACATTTTAGGACGTTTCAAAGCGTCATTGTCAGAGAGAGATGGAGGGGAAGGACTCTCAGCCTAGAAATATAGATTACAAACAGCAGGTTGCTCTGGACCAGGGCATCAGGCTGTTTGTAGCTGTAGCTTCTGAGGTGGAAAGTCCAACTTCTTCACCAGGAGCTCTCTTTCCTCTTCTGTCTCTGGTCTCTCTCGGGTCTCTCTCTCTTTATCCAATTTCCCTCACACCCTGTTAACGAACCTACATGGATCAAGTTGGAATTGCATGCAATAAATAATAAAAAAAATACAAAGATAGTTTTCTGATTGCTTTGTGTTTGAGACGTTTAGACAAATATTCACACACACACATACAAATATACATACATACACACACACACACTTGATTAATGATCCCAGCTTCACCCAGACTAGACCTCATGCGGCCCAAGACACACTGAGTTTGCGTCCCCACATACACAGCACCTGGTCTACTCTAGACTCTAACTGTTGTGTTTGTTCCACAGGACCGAGAGCTCAGACCAGAGGAGATGGATGGTAGGTCTCACTGTAGTCCTGGACCAGACTGGTCAGACCACGCTGCAGAGGGCAGGTTTGGCTGCAGGGCGGAGTCTGTGTGCTCCCGCAGCCGCACCTGCCCTCTGAGGACCGGACTGACGCACTGCAGATGAACGGAGTCGAGATTCAAACCCATCCTGTGTTTGTGTGTTCTCAGAGCTGCGCGAGGCCTTTAAAGAGTTCGATAAAGACAAAGACGGATTTATCGGCTGCAAAGACCTCGGGAACTGTATGAGGACCATGGGCTACATGCCCACAGAGATGGAACTGATAGAACTGAGTCAGCAGATCAACATGAACCGTAAGAGACCAGAGAGAGACCAGAGAGAGAGACCAGAGAGAGACCAGAGAGATTCAGATTCAGATTCAGATTCATTTATTTGCCATTTGCAGTAAAACCACATAGGAAAAACTGTGTAAGACTACCCCAGTGTGCACCAGACGACACACACCAGAGCTCTTGCTCTTTGAGAGACCAGAGAGAGACCAGAGAGAGACCAGAGAGAGACCAGCAAGAGATCAGAGAGAGACCAGCGAGAGACCAAAGAGAGACCAGAGAGAGATCAGAGAGAGAGCAGAGAGAGAGAAACCAGAAAGATGGACCTGAGAGAGATCAGAGTTGGACAAGAGAGATCAGAGAGAGAAATCAGAGGGATAGAAAAGAGAGTGAGACCAGCAAGAGAGAGCAGAGAGATCAAATAGATAGACCAGAGAAAGACCAGGAAGAAACCAGAGAGAGATCAGAAATAATCCAGAGAGAGACCAGAGAGAGAGCATAGAGATAAACCTCCTCTTCCTGTCCTCAGTGGGAGGACATGTGGACTTTGAAGACTTCGTGGAACTGATGGGACCAAAGTTGTTGGCGGAAACTGCTGATATGATCGGAGTCAAAGAACTGAGAGACGCCTTCAGAGAGGTGAGAGAGGACACAGGGACATGGGGACGGGAGGACATGGGGACGGGAGAGGACATGGAGACGGGAGGACATGGAGACAGGAGGACATGGGGACGGGAGAGGACATGGGGACAGGAGGACATGGGGACAGGAGGACATGGGGACGGGAGAGGACATGGGGACAGGAGGACATGGGGACGGGAGAGGACATGGAGACGGGAGGACATGGGGACGGGAGGGAGGACATGGGGACGGGAGAGGACATGAGGACATGGGGACGGGAGAGGACATGGGGACGGGAGGACATGGGGACGGGAGGACATGGGGACAGGAGGACATGGGGACGGGAGAGGACATGGAGACAGGAGGACATGGGGACGGGTGGACATGGGGGGACTGGGACAGAGGACATGGGGACAGGAGGACATGGGGACGGGTGGACATGGGGACGGGGAGAGGACATGGGGACGGGGAATGGGGACAGGACATGGGGACAGGAGGACATGGGGACGGGAGAGGACATGGGGACGGGAGGACATGGGGACAGGAGGACATGGGGACGGGAGAGGACATGGAGACAGGAGGACATGGGGACGGGTGGACATGGGGACGGGAGAGGACATGGAGACGGGGCGGGACATGGAGACAGGAGGACATGGGGACGGGTGGACATGGGGACGGAGAGGACATGGGGACGGGGAGGACATGGGGGGACATGGGAGGACATGGGGACGGGAGAGGACATGGAGACAGGAGGACATGGGGACAGGAGGACATGGGGACGGGAGGACATGGGGACAGGAGGACATGGGGGCGGGAGAGGACATGGGGACAGGAGGACATGGGGACGGGAGAGGACATGGGGACGGGTGGAAATGGGGACAGGAGGACATGGGGACAGGAGGACATGGGGGGGAGAGGATATGGAGACAGGAGGACATGGGGACGGGAGGACACGGGGACAAGAGGACATGGGGACAGGAGGACATGGGACAGGAGGACATGGGGACGGGAGAGGATATGGAGACAGGAGGACATGGGGACGGGAGAGGACATGGAGACAAGAGGACATGGGGACGGGAGGACATGGGGACGGGAGGACATGGGGACAGGAGAGGACATGGAGACAGGAGGACATGGGGATGGGAGGACATGGGGACGGGAGGACATGGGGACAGGAGGACATGGGGACGGGAGAGAACATGGGGACGGGAGGACATGGGGACAGGATGACATGGGGACGGGAGAGGACTTGGGGACAGGAGGACATGGGGACAGGAGGACATGGAGACAGGAGGACATGGGTTCGGGAGGACATGGGGACGGGAGGACATGGGGACAGGAGGACATGGGGACGGGAGAGGACATGGGGATGGGAGGACATGGGGACAGGAGGACAGGAGGACATGGGGACAGGAGGACATGGGGACGGGAGAGGACATGGGGACGGGAGGACATGGGACGGAGGACATGGGGACGGGAGAGGACATGGGGACGGGGAGGACATGGGGACAGGAGGACATGGGGACGGGAGGACATGGGGACAGGAGGACATGGGGACGGGAGGACACGGGGACGGGAGGACATGGGGACAGGAGGACATGGGGACGGGAGGACATGGGGACGGGAGAGGACATGGGGACAGGAGAGGACATGGGGACAGGAGGACATGGGGACGGGACAGGGATAAAGCAGACTGTAAACATGTCTTTTTATGTTTAGTTCGACACAAATGGAGACGGAATGATCAGCACTGCAGAACTGAGGGAGGCCATGAAGAAGCTCCTCGGACAACAGGTACTGTACCCATGAGTCACAGAGAAGGCCCTGTGCTCTGGGTTTAGACCACAGAGAAGGCCCTGTGCTCTGGGTTTAGACCACAGAGAAGGCCCTGTGCTCTGGGTTTCAGACCACAGAGAGGGCCCTGTGCTCTGGGTTTAAGACCACAGAGAGGGCCCTGTGCTCTGGGTTTAAGACCACAGAGAAGGTCCTGTGCTCTGGGTTTCAGACCACAGAGAGGGCCCTGTGCTCTGGGTTTCAGACCACAGAGAGGGCCCTGTGCTCTGGGTTTAAGACCACAGAGAGGGCCCTGTGCTCTGGGTTTAAGACCACAGAGAAGGTCCTGTGCTCTGGGTTTCAGACCACAGAGAGGGCCCTGTGCTCTGGGTTTCAGACCACAGAGAGGTGCTGACTGCTTCTCTTTCAGGTTGGACACAGAGACCTCGAGGAGATTCTTCGAGACATTGACCTCAACGGAGACGGACAAGTAGATTTTGAAGGTGAATCATTATGTTGTGTTGAAACTGTCCTGTGTGTGTCCTCTGTCTCTCTGTGTGTATGTGTATAGTCCCCTATGTCTCTCTGTGTCTCTCTGTGTGTATGTGTATAGTCCCCTATGTCTCTCTGTGTCTCTCTGTGTGTATGTCTCTCTGTCTCTCTGTGTATATGATTGTGATTCACCAGTAGATTATCTGAGACGTCCACTGTCTACTTTTGTCCCCAGAGTTTGTCCGTATGATGTCCCGGTGAGCACAGAGGTCCCGGTGAGCATAGAGGTCCCGGTGAGCACAGAGGTCCCGGTGAGCACAAAGACCCCGGTGAGCACAGAGGTCCCAGTGAGCACAGAGACCCCGGTGAGCACAGAGACCCCGGTGAGCACAGAGACCCCGGTGAGCACAGAGACCCCGGTGAGCACAGAGACCCCGGTGAGCACAGAGAGTCTCCTGTTTCTACATATCAATCCTGGACACTGCCACGCTGAGGCCAAACGCACTGTTGACCCGACGCTGCTGCTTCCTGCTGCTTCCTGCTGCTGGAATTACTGATGCTAAATTAATGTTTTATGTTTTTTTATGTGTTTTATGTTTTTACAAAAGAGTTTCTAACAATGTTGAAAATTACATTTATGAGCACAATACAGCAGTGCATCCGAGAAATCCTTTAAAATAACTTTGGTAGTGCTCTCTGTGTGTGTGTGTGTGTGTGTGTGTATGTGTGTATGAATGTGTGTGTGTGCGTTGCGTGTATGTATATGTGTGTGTGTATGTGTGTGTTTGTGTGTGTATGTGTGTACTTTATGAATGTGTGTGTGTGCGTTGCGTGTATGTATGTGTGTGCGTGTGTGTGTGTGTTCTCCTTCCCGTAGCTCTGTGATGTAGCAGACTCTTACTGTGGTAAATTATATTTATTCATATTTATAAACTTGATGTATTTTGATAATAGCGATAATAATATTCTTTCAAATGTGGTGTTTCCCAAAAAGAGTTTACTAAGATTTAACTGTGGGAACAATAGACAGGGTCAGGGGTCAGGGGTTAGAGAGCGTAAGGGAGGGTTAGGGTGGGGTTAGGAGGGCTGGGGTTAGGGAGGGTTAGGGAGGGCTGGGGTTAGGGAGGGTTAGGGTGAGGGGTTAGGGAGGGTTAGGGTCAGGGGTTCGGGCGGCTGGGGTTAGGGCGGGTTAGGGTGAGGGGTTAGGGAGGGTTAGTGTCAGGGGTTCGGGAGGGCTGGGGTTAGGGAGGGTTAGAGTGAGGGGTTAGGAAGGGTTAGGGTCAGGGGTTAAGGAGGGCGGGGGTTAGGGCGGGTTAGGGTGAGGGGTTAGGGAGAGTTAGGGTCAGGGGTTAGGGAGAGTTAGGGTGAGGGGTTAGAGAGGGTCAGGGGTAGGGGAGGGTATTGGTCAGGGGTTAGGGAGGGTTAGAGAAGGTTAGGGAGGGTTAGGGTTAGGGAGGGTCAGGGAGGGTGACTTTTGTTCATGATGTAAAATAAGAAGCAATAATCTCCATGAACCCTGTGATGCAAACACCAAAGACTCGAGGTGTTTCCTGCGGCAGCTAACGGCTCTGACCTCAGATATGCACATGTTTAAGTTAAAGACCTGATCATGTAGTCAGAACCTGGTCCTCAGAGGGATGGGAGACCAGAGAGAGACCAGAGAGAGACACCGGAGAGAGACCATAGAGACCAGAGAGGGAGACTAGAGGGAGACCAGAGAGAGACCAGAGAGAGACCAGAGAGAGACCAGAGAGAGACCAGAGAGAGACCAGAGAGAGACCAGAGAGAGACCAGAGAGAGACCGGAGAGAGACCGGAGAGAGAGCAGAGAGAGACCATAGAGACCAGAGAGGGAGACCAGAGAGGGAGACCAGAGAGGGAGACCACAGAGAAAGACCAGAGGGAGACCAGAGGGAGACCACAGAGGGAGACCACAGAGAGACCAGAGAGAGACCAGAGAGAGAGACCAGAGAGAGAGACCAGAGAGAGAGACCAGAGAGGGAGACCAGAGAGAGACCAGGGAGAGACCAGAGGGAGACCAGAGAGAGACCAGGGAGAGGTGTTCACTCCGACAGCAGGAGCCCAGTCGCCCTCTGAGGACCAGTGTGAAGACCCTGATGTAAAACAGAGAAACATAAAGCACAGACTCCAGAGTTCTTTGATTTCATGTAAAACTATGCAGTTTGTAGCAAAACAAAAATATATGAATCTGTTTGTGTTTAATAAAATATTTTGGAGATTTGTCTGTGTTTGTCTTTACTTCAATGACTATAAAAATCAGAGACCAGAGGGAGACCAGAGGGAGACCAGAGAGAGACCAGAGAGAGACCAGAGAGAGACCAGAGGGAGACCAGAGGGAGACCAGAGGGAGACCAGAGAGAGACCAGAGAGAGACCAGAGAGAGACCAGAGAGAGACCAGAGAGAGACCAGAGAGAGACCAGAGAGAGACCAGAGAAAGCTCTACTCGACTCTCGGTTGGGAGTATTTCCTCTGGTCCTGTTTAACCAGTGCCAGGTCCTTCTTCCCCTTTTAGTCCCTCTTGGGCACTAAAGGGGACTCTTAGGGAGGGCTGCTGGAAGCCATGGTTACCAAGGAATTTCCCTGGGTACTGGTTTGCTGTGAGTACATTTCTGGGAGTGTGGGTAGAGTTGGTGGAAACAGGGCTTTTGAGTCTCTCTGATGTCATGTGACACTAATCAGCTTAACTTTAGCTTCTTATTTCTGCTGTTGTCAGACTGGACCTGAGGCTTCAGGGGAGACGTAGTAAGACCGAGACCAGAAAGACACCAGGGAGAGAGACCAGAAAGAGATCAGAGGGAGACCAGAGAGAGACCAGAAACAACAGAGAGAGCGACCTGAGAGAGACCAGAGAGAAAGACACCAGGGAGAGAGACCAGAGCAAAACCTTAGAGAGACACGAGAGTGAGAGAGACCATAGCGAGACACCAGAGCAAGACCAGAGGCAGACAAAAGACCAATCTTACCAGTGGGATTTTAACCCTCTCCATCTCCCTCTCCCCAGACCTGACCTTCTGTTCGGTCTCGTCCTACTCTCAGGGGTCTTTTCTCAGTGATCCTCATGACCTGGACAGTGTGTACCTCTGAGCCTCTCTGCTGGGTGGTCCTGTCCCTGTCGTTATGGTGGACTCTCCTGCTGGTCTTCATCATCGTCCCGTCGGTCGCTGGGATCTCGTTCGGGATCCGCTCGTTGTACATGAGAGCTCTGTTACAGATTTTTAAGGTACAAAGTTGTTCAGGGCTAAAATAAGTCAGTAATAAGTTATTTATATTGCGCCTCGGACAGACCAGAGTCACAAAGTCGCTGTTGTGTGCGTTTGTCTCTGACTCTACACAGAGATGGGAGTGAGGTCATCATACAGGATCATGTCAGGACTATTGTACATGTTTTTAGTGGTAGGGGAAACCGGAGCACCTGGAGGAAACTTACACAGACACAGGGAGAACATGTAAACTCCACTAAGAAAGTGTGTGTATGCAGGTGTCTGTGTTTGTGTGTGTACGTATGTGTGTGCGTGTGTCTGTCTGTGTGTGTGTACGTGTGTGTGTCTGTCTGTGTGTGTGTCTGTGTGTGTGATTGTGTGTGTATAGGGACGCAGCTTTGTACAGTTTAGTGTAATCCTGACCTTGTTTGTGAGACCCCTGAGAGGACCAGGCCCCGAGGGAGTGGATCACTGTAGACCCTGGTGATGTCACACTGCGATGGGGTTTAAATACAGATGTTGTTCTCAGTGGACCTCGTCACAGATGGAGATCAGAGCAAAGGAGAAGAATGAGGAATTATACAAACCCTACAGCAACGGTAACACACACTACTGTGTGTGTGTACGTGTGTGTGCGTGCGTGTATGTGGACATCTGTATATGTGAATGTGTGCGTATCTGTATCTGTGTATATGTGTGTGTATCTGTATGGTTGTATATGTGTGTATATCTGTATGTCTGTGAATATGTGTGTGTATGTCTTTTCTGCACAGGGATAATAGCAAAGCAGCCCTCCCTGTCCCTGATGCAGCAGCAGCAGCAGTTGCGTTGCTGCAGCTCAGACTGTGCGTTCTCAGACGCCCTGTTCTTCAGCCGCAGAGCCGTGGAGAGCATCGTGGACGATGAAGTCACAAAGTGCTTCTCAGCTCAGGAGCTGGAGAACTGGAACCTGCTGACGAGGAGCAACTGTCGCTTCAGACACATCAGTTTGAGGCTCACGGTTCTGTGGGGACTGGGCCTCCTGCTGCGGTACTGCCTCCTGCTGCCGCTCAGGTCTGACACAGTCTACTACAGCAGTCATACAAGTGTTATTGTAACCCAGGTTAATAGTGTGACCGTCAAAGTAAAAGCATGTTAATAAAACATCAATAACTACAACAGATTAAAAGTCAATAAATATGTCAATATGTTAAATGGTCATTAAAAACGTCTATAATATATTACTCTATTCATTAGTATCTCAACAAGCTAAAAAAAATATGCAAATTCATGGTTGTTTTGTTTAAAAAAATATCTTTGTACTTTTATTTTGAAAGACAAGTAGTTGCACGTCCCATGCGTGACCCATGTGACTAGCAACGGCCAACCGGATTGTTCTAGAACTCGCCAGAAGCAGACGCGGGCAGAAGGAGAGAAGGAGACAAGAAAGAGATACGAGTTTAAAGATATTTGAGTAAAAAGTGTTTTGAATTTAATGTTTATTGTATGTCCATTGTCTTTTGTCTATTTTTTCAATAATAAGCCGGCAATTTAAACTTATTCACTGGTCTGTGGCTTCTTTATTAGCGTCTTACGTTCTGTAATCCAACTTTTACTCCAGTAGACGAACTTAGCTGATTGATTCTGGTCCATAGGATACTGATAGGAATTTTTACCCTGTAATTACCCCTCGTAGGTGTTACAGAATTGGCGAGCCAGCCAGGAGTAAAATAATTTTTAGCTAACGTGTTCAAAATTTAATTTTGACCCAGACCCTTAAAATAGGTAAAAACCGGCAAAGACATGGACATAGTAAAAAAAGAAAATGTGAAAATCCCAAATTCAGTCATTGTTACTGAGCTTAATGATGAAACCCTTGATGAAGAACTGACTGACTTCTTGTGCAAGTATGGGCGTATCCTGAGAACCCTGAAAATTGAAAATCCTGACTCTTGGTACCACAATAATTTTATTGTGGAATATGAGAGTGGAGCTGCTCTCGCAGGACTTGAATCCTTGTTGCCCCATTCTTTCCGAGGTCAAACTGCATTTTGCCACATCAAAGCTCTTTCAACAGCGTACACTGAATCTGTCACCAGTAGCGCCACCAACAGTTTGTTTGCTGAACTGCAAGAAGTAGCAAAATTAACCGGCCAGTCCTTTGAAGCCGTCTTGCATGAACATATTACTAAATGCAGTCAATCGATAGCAGGTGCAACTGAGCAGAACCATTTAGACGGAAATGACACTGAACTAATCCAAACCGAGCAAACTGAGCCAGATAGCTACAATGCTCCCTTAATCTCGAGTGAGACTCAAAGAGAAACTGAACAAACAAATAAAACTGAGCCAATCAAACCACCCAGACACCCTCAAGCTGCCAACATTCCGCCAAGCTTCATAACTCATCCAGAGGTGCAAAAAGTTGTTGTTGAGCACATAGTCCGAAGTGAAGCTTCTGTATCTAAAGAGTTACATTCTTTTCGCTTGAGGCAATTCTCTGGAAAACTACCATGTCCTAGTCATGAGGTGGATTTTGACACATGGCGGACCAGTGTTGAGCTTGTCCTTCAGGATCCAGATCTTTCTGATTTGCAGCGGTCTCGTAAGATCTTGGACAGTCTTGTGCCGCCTGCGGCTAATGTAGTCAAACCTTTAGGCCCTAAAGCCTTGCCTTCCGCTTACATCGAGCTGCTCAATTCCGCTTTTGGAAAGGTTGAGGACGGCGATGAGCTTTTCGCTAAGTTCCTTAACACATTGCAAAATGCTGGTGAAAAGCCCTCGCATTATCTTCACCGACTACAGACAGCTCTTGCCAAAGCTCAGAAAAGAGGTGGTGTCTCAGCCAGTGAAACAGACAGACACCTGTTACGCCAGTTTTGTCGCGGGTGTTGGGATAATGCCCTTCTAGCCGACCTGCAACTAGAAAGAAAAAAAGATAACCCACCTCCTTTCGCCGAATTACTCTTACAGTTGAGAGTAGAGGAAGATAAGCTCACTGCAAAAGAAAGCAGGATGAAAAAACACTTTGCTGCAACCAGACCAAAAGTCACTTCACATGCAATAGCTGCAAACACTGACTCTTCAATGCAAAGTGATCTAACACAAATGCGGACACAAATGACCGAGCTTCAGAATCAGCTCTCCAATATGAAATCTAAAAAGGCTGAACCACCAGTCGTTCCCTAGAGCAACTTGGTCAAAGAGCTGAAAGCACAAATCACAGAGTTGCAGTCTCACCTCGCCAGACTCAAACCACCAAATGAAACCCCAAAAGCTGCTAACAAGACGAAAATGAAACCTGGAGCACATGAACAAAAACAGAAAGCAACCCCAGTTCCAAAAAACAGACCAAAGCCCTGGTATTGTTTTCAATGCGGCGAAGACGGACATATGGTCCCTGACTGCCCCAACGAAGCCAATCCGTCGTTGGTCGCTGAAAAGAGAGCACAGTTAAAAGAAAAACAGTTACAGTGGGACAAACAGAACAAACAAAACCTACCTTTAAACTGAAACCGGCTCTCATTGCGGGACAAATGAGTGCTACCAACGAAACGGGTCCCAACCGAAAGCCTTCTACAAAGCGCTTGAACAGCAAATCAGTCACTGCAAACTTACCAAAAGGTTTAATCGGAGCCAAGTACACTGCTCATGTGCAAATCAATGGTCAAAACTGCAGTTGTCTCCTTGATACTGGGTCTCAAGTGACCACTGTGTCCCAATCATTCTACGAAAACAATCTCTCAAACCTTGTAATCCATTCCATCGATGAACTGCTTGAAATTGAGGCTGCAAACGGTCAAAATGTTCCTTACTCAGGTTTTATCAGTGTCGATATTACCTTCCCAAAAGTCTGTTTTGGTACTGAAATCAGTGTGTCCACATATGCCTTAGTCGTCCCTGACACACGTTCGAACATTCAATCATCCCTTTTGATTGGCACCAACACTCTTGACATTCTTTATGAAAGTTTATCTGAAACCAATGCTGATACTCAAGCTCTACCCTATGGTTACAGAGTAGTGCTCAGTGTATTACGGCAAAGGCAGAAGCAGAAAGAAAACAGTAGTCTTGGTTCAGTCAGATTGTCGGGAAGAGAGTCAGAAGTCATACCTGCTGGTCAAAGTCGAGTCTTAGAGGGGTTGGTCCATGTAAACACTTAAACACCAGACAAGTGGGTTGTAGTTGAGTCACCCTCTACTTCCTCCTTACCAGGTGGGGTCCTTGTCACCAACTGTTTACTTACCTTTCCAGACAAACCTTCTCAGAAGCTTCCAGTTGTGCTGCGCAACGAAAGTAAACATGACATAGTCATACCTGCAAAAAGCATTATTGCTGAAATTCATGCAATTCAAGAAGTTGTGTCAGCCAACCAGATCCAAACAAAAACAAAGTCCAGCGAGCCTCCTCCCTTGAATCTGAACTTTGCCGACTCGCCTGTCCCCAGTGAATGGAGAGACAGAATCACGCAAAAACTCTGCTCCATGCCTGAAATATTCGCACAACATGACACAGATTTTGGGTGTACAGACAAAGTAAAGCATCAAATAAAGATGAGCGATGAAACACCCTTTAAACATCGACCCCGTCCAATCAGGCCACAAGATCTTGATGCAGTGAGAAGACACTTGCAGGAACTGAACGAGGCAGGAATAATTCGCGAGTCTGAAAGCCCCTTCTCATCACCCATAGTAGTGGTGAGGAAGAAAAATGGTGATGTTCGACTTTGCGTCGATTATCGAAAACTAAACCTCAACACGATCAAGGATGCCTATGCGCTCCCTAACCTAGAGGAGGCATTCTCAGCCCTCGCAGGATCGAAGTGGTTTTCGGTCCTTGACCTTAAGAGCGGCTACTACCAGATAGAGGTTGATGAAAAAGACAAGCACAAAACCGCTTTTGTATGTCCTATGGGTTTCTTCGAATTCAACAGGATGCCCCAAGGCATAACAAATGCACCCAGCACCTTTCAAAGGTTGATGGAAAAGTGCATGGGGAACATCAATCTTAAGGAAGTCTTGGTTTTCTTAGACGACCTTATCGTCTTTTCCGAAACCCTTGAACAACATGAAGAACGCCTTTTCCATGTGCTTGGTCGCCTCCGTGAATATGGTCTAAAATTGTCCATTGAAAAGTGTTGCTTCTTTCAGACTTCAGTTAGGTACTTAGGGCACATAGTCTCTCAGAACGGAGTTGAGACTGACCCTGAAAAAGTTGAAGCCCTGAAAACATGGCCAAGTCCCAGAAACCTGAAAGAGCTCCGCCAATTTTTAGGTTTCGCCGGGTATTACAGGCGGTTTGTTAAAGATTTCTCTAAAATCGTGAAACCCCTGACAAGCCTTACTGCCGGGTACCCACCTTTGAGAAAGAGCCATGTCCCTAAGACCGACAACGCCCAATACTTTGAGCCTAAAGCCCCTTTTGGTGATAGGTGGTCTGAAAGTTGCCAGAAAGCATTCGAGACAATAATCAGTAAACTTACCTCCAGTCCAGTGTTAGGCTTCGCCAACACCAAGCTTCCTTACGTATTACATACGGACGCGAGCACCTCTGGGCTGGGGGCAGCCCTGTATCAAGAGCAAGAAGGGAAGATGCGCGTCATTGCGTATGCAAGTAGAGGTCTGTCGAGAAGTGAGGCCCGCTATCCTGCCCACAAACTTGAGTTTTTAGCCCTCAAGTGGGCTGTAACCGAAAAGTTTTGTGATTACTTGTACGGCAGTCCTTTCACAGTAGTAACTGACAGTAATCCTCTAACTTACATCTTGACAACCGCTAAGTTAGATGCGACAAGTTACCGCTGGCTGTCAGCCCTGTCCTCCTTTGACTTCCAGCTTCAGTATAGGGCAGGCAAACAGAACTTGGATGCAGACGGTCTGTCTCGTCGGCCCCATCCAGAACCAGTCAATGACCTTGTCTCCCTGAAAGAACAAGAACGAATTTGTCAGTTTGTCAACCATCACTTACCTGGCGCAGATCCTTTCGTTCATGTACCTCCAAACGCTGTCAGGGCCATCTGTGAAAAACACCTTGTACTCCAGTCTCTTGATTTCGAAAACTTACCTGTGTCTCTTACCTGTCCTCTTGTCACATCCTTGTCGATGTCCGCCCAAGCTGTTCCAGACTGTTTCGATCAGTGTAATGGTTTCCCAGTCATTCAAAGCATTTCAGAAGAAGAACTGAAACAAAATCAAAGAAATGACCCCGCAATCAATGAAATCATACATCAACTTGAAACAGGTGAAACTACTCCACCAACTGTCCGTAATGAAATCCCACAACTCTCCATCCTTCTGCGTGAACTAAACAAACTTGAGCTGCAGAGTGGAATTCTTTACAGGAAGAGGTTAGTTGGTGACGAAACCCAATATCAGCTTGTTCTCCCCGAAAGCCTCAGACACATGGTTTTAAAAAGTCTTCACGATGATATGGGTCATCTTGGTGTTGACCGGACTCTTGACCTAGCACGAACCAGGTTTTTCTGGCCGAAAATGGCTCTTGATGTCGAACAAAAAATAAAGACCTGTCAGAGATGTGTCTGCAGAAAGACATTGCCCGAAAAGGCAGCGCCCCTTGTAAATATTCAAGTAACCAGACCCCTCGAGTTACTGTGTATTGACTTTTTGAGCATTGAACCAGATCGTAGCAATACGAAGGATGTCCTGGTAATGACAGATTCCTTTACCAAGTACGCAATTGCTATACCTACCCCAAACCAACGAGCAAGAACGGTAGCAAAAGCATTGTGGGAGAACTTTATAGTCCACTACGGGTTCCCAGAGAAGATCCATAGTGATCAAGGCGCAGACTTTGAATCAAAAACAATCAAAGAACTTTGCGACCTTGCAGGGATACAGAAAGTGAGAACAACTCCCTATCATCCCAGAGGCAACCCTGTGGAAAGATTTAATAGGACACTCCTGAATATGCTTGGTACTCTCAGGGACGAGGATAAAAGACATTGGCACGACTACGTCAAACCGCTTGTGCATGCGTATAACTGCACCAAACATGACAGCACCGGTTATACGCCATATGAGTTAATGTTTGGCAGGCAACCCAGACTACCCATTGACCTAGCCTTCAATGTCCCTTTGAATCGACGTCAGCAACAATCCCACTCGCAGTATGTAAAGGCCTTAAAAACCCATCTGCAGGAGAGTTATCATTTGGCTACAAAAAGTGCTGCCAAAGTTGCAGAAAGAAACAAAGCCCGATATGACAGACATGTTACTGAATCAGTCCTCAATGTTGGTGATCGTGTGCTTGTAAAAAATGTCCGGCTGCGAGGAAAAAACAAGTTAGCTGACAAGTGGGAATCCACCGTTCATGTTGTCGTAAGCCAAAAAGACAACTTACCTGTTTACACAGTTAAGCCGGAACACCAAAACAGTCCCACTCGAACTCTACACAGAGACCTGTTGTTGCCATGCGGGTTTCTGCCAACCTTGCCTGAAACGACTCCGAAAGCCAAAGAAAAGCCCCGCAGGCCTAGCACACGCCAACATCCAACAACCGATTCAGAACCTGAGCTTGAAAGTGAGTTCGAGGAAGAATATATCTACCCTCAGTATTACATCCCAGGTCCTCTTAAAGAAATCTCAAGGACAGTTGAGGAGTACAGGGTAGTCCATCCTCCAAAAACCTACCAAAATCCTTCAGTTGAGCAACCAACCTCAGAAAAGTCTTTCCCAGTTACTGTAGAAATCCCTGACACTGCTCCAAAAGACATAGAAAACTCTGAAAATGAAAGCTTACCCGATAGTGACAATGAAACCGATGATGACAAAATACCTGAAAGTGACGAAATACCTGAAAGTGATGAAATACCTGAAAGTGACAAAACACCCGATTGTGAAAAGGAAAATGAAATGGACAAAGAATCTGAAAAAGGAAATGAACAAGAACTTGCAAACTTACCTGAAGTGGAATACCTACCTCCAAAGGAAAATATACCTGCACCTGAAAAGGAAGGAACAAATGGAGAAAAGACAAACGTTGAAATAAAGGAAAAGGAGACAATGGAAAATGAAAGAAACGGAAAGAATGATGTAAACAATGTTGAAGGAACAAACAATCCCAACAAAGAGCAAGATATCAGAAGATCCCTCAGAGAAAGAAGGATGCCCAAACAGTTAACCTACCCTCAATTGGGTAACCCTCTCATAAACATTGTTCAATCCCTTTTCCAAAGCCTGAGTGAAGCTGTAACAGGTTCTATTGAACTACACGAAGTCAAAGTAGTTTAAAGTAGGCATTATGCAAAGGGACTTGCATAGAGTTAAGAGGGGAGGGTGTAACCCAGGTTAATAGTGTGACCGTCAAAGTAAAAGCATGTTAATAAAACATCAATAACTACAACAGATTAAAAGTCAATAAATATGTCAATATGTTAAATGGTCATTAAAAACGTCTATAATATATTACTCTATTCATTAGTATCTCAACAAGCTAAAAAAAATATGCAAATTCATGGTTGTTTTGTTTAAAAAAATATCTTGGTACTTTTATTTTGAAAGACAAGTAGTTGCACGTCCCATGCGTGACCCATGTGACTAGCAACGGCCAACCGGATTGTTCTAGAACTCGCCAGAAGCAGACGCGGGCAGAAGCAGTGTTGCCAACTTAGCGACTTTGTCGCTAGATTTAGCGACTTTTCAGACCCCTATAGCGACTTTTTTTCAAAAAAGCGACTAGCGACAAATCTAGCGACTTTTTCTGGTGTTATTGGCGACTTATCTGGTGTTTTGGCGACTTATCTGGTGTTTTGGAGACTCGTGAAGCAGTGTTTTTCAACCACTGTGCCGCGGCACACTAGTGTGCCGTATGATATTGTCTGGTGTGCCGTGAGAAATTCGTCTACTTTGTCTAAAAATAACTGCATTCGCTGTTGACGAGCGGTGACTTGTTTTGAACTGTGGAGTAACCATGTAATACTTTTTCAAATCAGTAGATGGCAGCAGATAGCTAAGTACTTTGAAACTGAAAAATTGGATGCGACCACTGGCTACAGGTCAGCATTGTGGCGAGAAAGGTAAAATTGGATGCGACCAACAAATGTGTGAGGGAGCGAGACAAGAGCTTTGTGGCGAGTGAGAAGTGAAAGTGATAGAGACGTTTTTGAAAATGAATTATGCCGTTTCTGAACAGGATTAACATCCTCCGCTCTGCCCCGGGGCAGCTGTGGCCGCGTTGTAGTGGTTTAAATATGAAATGTACAATTTTTGTACAACAGCTCTCGCGAACGCACTTCTGAACTGGGTACCGAGCGCAGACCATAGTCGAGTGGACAGAACCACAGACATGCGGACCGGACAGAACCATGGACTCGCGTTCAGGACCTCCCGTGTCCCTCATCCAAAACTCCTGAATTTAAAGCTCGGATACCTAAATTTTTCCCATGCACTAACAATGCATGTTCTTTGTGTGAGTTATTATTTGACTATTTGGGTAGAGAGTGGATTTTCTTAGTTTTTTTCCACACAGTTAGTGCCACTTTATTCCCAAACTCTTGTTAATTGTATCGAGAAATATTAAATAAAGCTTAATGTCAAGGCCTGGACTTAAGCATTTTGATGAGAATAACTGTATATTGTGAATATAGGCTACAGAGTATACTGTATACATTATAAGATAAGATAAACTTTATATATCACACAGAGTATGTACAGTATATATTTTTTTACATTAGTACTGTATACATTTTTACATTTTCTCCTGGAGGTGTGCCGCAAGATTTTTTCAGTGAAAAAAGTGTGCCTTGGCTCAAAAAAGGTTGAAAAACACTGTCGTGAAGCACGTATTGTTCTGCTGTCCTCAACGTGAGCCCCTCCCCCGTCCCAAAGCACTTACAGGCGGCCAGTCTCACAGTAGCCTTGCGCAGCAGTCCCAGCTACAGTCTATGGGCGGAGCAGAGAGAGAGAGGAGACTCAAAAGCACAGGGAGTTTTCAGGCTGCTGCAGACTGAACTTCAGCTCCACCACCACCACACATCCAAAGCTCCCCGGCCACTCCTACCACCGCCACCCCCCACTACCCCCCACTCCATCCGCGGCAGCTCTGTCCGTGACTCTGTTTTCTCTCAGTAGTGGGTCACATTAAATCATTTGTTATGCCAAACTAAAAAACTTACAAAAATAAACCTAAGTAACTCTGCCAGAGTGTGTCTTTTGGGTCACTTTGCCGGTCCCAAGCCCGGATAAAGGAGGAGGGTTGGTTGTAGAGCTAGCAATTTCACCCTACATAACAATCTTTTGATTACATTTGCTGTTATAACATTTAACAATACAGGACAAAACTGATGTGTGTAATGTGGATCTAGACAAAGCATTAAAATCATTAAATGTTGTTAATGTTGAAATTATTTTTGTACATTTGTAGTTCTAAACATATTTAGGGTGTTTTTACTCACTTTTGTCTCTCCCACGACCTTATTCCTCTCTCCTACAGCGTCCGTTACAGTTATTTGCAAATGGCAAATTATGCAAATTAGGCGATGACGTCATTTAGCGACTTCTAGCGACTTTTGGGACAGCCAATAGCTACTTTCCTTACTGAGGAGTTGGCAACACTGGGCAGAAGGAGAGAAGGAGACAAGAAAGAGATACGAGTTTAAAGATATTTGAGTAAAAAGTGTTTTGAATTTAATGTTTATTGTATGTCCATTGTCTTTTGTCTATTTTTTCAATAATAAGCCGGCAATTTAAACTTATTCACTGGTCTGTGGCTTCTTTATTAGCGTCTTACGTTCTGTAATCCAACTTTTACTCCAGTAGACGAACTTAGCTGATTGATTCTGGTCCATAGGATACTGATAGGAATTTTTACCCTGTAATTACCCCTCGTAGGTGTTACATTATATAGAACTGAGTCCTGGTCTCGGGTCTCTGTCCTGAAGTCCTCTCACATTAGTCCTGGTCTCAGGTCTCAGTCCTGAAGTCCTCTCACATTAGTCCTGGTCTCAGGTCTCTCCATTGTATTATGATTATTTATGCACTTGTGTTGACAGAGTCGCCCTGGCCGTCTCTGGTGTCCCTCTGCTCCTGGTGCTGACCCCCCTGGTTTCATGTTTACCAGATGGAGCGTGAGTTTCTGCTTCAGACGACACAAGACACACAACATGAGGAACAGACACACAACATGAGGAACAGACACACAACATGATGCACAGACACACAACATGAGGAACAGACACACAACATGAGGAAAAGACACACAACATGATGCACAGACACACAACATGAGTGTGGACATTTGTGTGTTTGAATAATGGCGCCTCAGTCTATCTTTGTGCCTATAGAGTAAATATAAACTGTTAATGTTTACAGTATTGATTCTGGGACAGACGGTAAATACATCACTGGAGCTGTACTTTATGCTGCTGTTGCTCCTTGTCATCGGAATGAGCCCAGTCTCCGCTCATGTTAAAGTCTGTGGAGGTGACTATTGTGGAAAATCAACCTCACAGAGACAGGATCGTCACGCACCAGAACCACCCAGAACAGAGTTAGAACAAGCTCTATACAGTCACGGTGACGTCACACACGGAAGGACAAACATGTCACATCAAGAGACAATCAGAACATATTAGAGTCATAACACAGATACACAATAACAGATACACAATCATAGCAGATACACAATCATAACATATACACAATTATAACAGCGACACAATCAGAGTCCCTGTGGCTTACAGAAGACCAGATCTTGTAGCAGTCTAATCCCCGGACTACTTCAAGTACAGGCAGCTCTCTCTCTCTCTCTGGTCTCTTTCTCTCTCTCTGGTCTCTCTCTCTCTCTCTGGTCTCTCTCTCTGGTCTCTGGTCTCTCTCTCTCTCTCTCTCTGGTCTCTCTCTCTCTCTCTGGTCTCTCTCTCTGGTCTCTGGTCTCTCTCTCTCTCTCTCTGGTCTCTCTCTCTCTGGTCTCTCTTCCTCTGGTCTCTGTTTTTAGAATGGACTTGTACGTGAACTATGTGTGTGTTTGTGTGTGTGTGTGTGTATGTGTGTGTGTATGTGTGTGTTTCAGACTTCATTCTGGGCTCAGTGAGAAGGTGCACATTGTGTGTTACGGCGTCTTTGTGAGAGCTTTGACGGCGATCATCACTTATCATCATCAGTGAGTAACATTATCATAATTTAACTGGTTATTCATGACATGTAGGAGCACAGGGACTGGCCTCCTGCTGGGACTCTGAGGAGCACAGGGACTGGCCTCCTGCTGGGACTCTGAGGAGCACAGGGACTGGCCTCCTGCTGGGACTCTGAGGAGCACAGGGACTGGCCTCCTGCTGGGACTCTGAGGAGCACAGGGACTGTAGTTGTGTAGTTGCCTTGTGTATGAACTGTGCTATACCATTATACTTGCCTTTCCTTCTCCTCTGCACAGGGAGAACAAGCCTCGGGACGGTGGCATCTGTGTAGCCAATCACACGACACCGATTGACATCATCATCTTGGCCAACGACGGCTGCTACTCGCTGGTGGGACAGGTGCACGGCGGGTTGATGGGACTTCTTCAGAGAGCTCTGGTTAAAGCCTCCTCTCACATCTGGTTTGAACGATCTGAAGCCAAAGACCGACATCTAGTGGCCAAAAGGTAGACTGCAGACACACAGAATGTAGATGTGAGACTAGCCTGGTACTAGATCTATCGGAGCCAGTCTGGTCTTACCATCTGTAAACCCACTCACTCGGACTCATTACATACGTCACGGTAAACTCAGATCCAATCATTTTAATCTGCAAAACCTCTCCCACCTGTTAACGGAGTCAATGCAGCAAATCCAGACCTTAGTGCGAAATGAAATGAGTACGATGGTGTGGTAAGACCAGACTAGGACAGAGCTGCAGTTGCAAATATATACACTAATATATACACTCATTAATAAAGTCAGACGTCTCAGTGTTGTTGTGTTCCTTAGACTCGGGGACCATGTTGCAGACAAGAACAAACCTCCGATTCTCATTTTTCCAGAAGGTTTGTCAAGCTAATTTTTACCATTTAAGAGAAACTCAGAAACTTAAGAATAATGTTTTAAAGTCAATTTACTTTATAACTTGTGTGGAATTTACCATGGGAGATTACAGGAGGTGTCTCCAACCTTTTTCAACCCGAGAGCTACTTTCCCGGGACAACAAAGGCAGAGAGCTACTCCTTTGAGACCTACTCCTTTAAGCGCCCCTGGGGGAAACAAAATTGGTGAAATATTGGTGTGTACTGTCTGATATCGGGTACTGTTATTATTTATCATCATGTTAAGAATCAGACTCAGACCAAATGGGATCTTGTGCATCAAAGCGTGGTCGTTTATTCACAAAATGGCAGTTGATTCAGCTTTTTCAGTTTTTTCAGACAGGGCATGTTTTGTAGTCATTGTCACGTCACACATTGAAAGACACTCAGAGCATATCATAGTCATCACATGGATACACAATCAGAGTCTGCGTAGAGGGTTGCGTTGTCCACCTGCTTGGACATATAGCTATCTAACCCTCATACTCACATATTTGTTGCTATAGTGACAGAGCAAGTGCAGTTACGATAATAAATAAGGAGAATGAATAAGACAATCTGAATTATTATGTGATATTATAAGTATATTATTTGGTTTGTTAACTTCTAGATCCTTTGGCGAGCTCTCTGTGTGGCGTCAGATACAAATGCCCAAAAAATAACAATTGTAAACCGCTTTGTGACTCTGGTCTGTGAAAAGCGGCATATTAATAAAGAGAACTTACTTACTGCTTACTTACTACCCTGGAAGGGGGTGGCGAGCTACAAATTGGGGACCCCTGGATTATAGCTTTATGGATTAAAGAATCTGTGTCTTAATGTTTTCACTCTGTTTGTCTATGTATGTAGTGTTCAATCAAAATAATGATAATAATAATAATAAAATGGTATTATTATTATTATTATTATGATGCTGTGATTTCCCAGAGTTTCACCTCGAGTTTGCAAAGTTCCAACTATGATATCAGTGAATCCGTTGTTTCACAGGGACCTGCATCAACAACACCTCAGTGATGATGTTCAAGAAAGGCAGTTTTGAGGTCGGCTGCAGCGTGTACCCCGTGGCCATCAAGGTCCATGAGGTTCCAACGGTTCTTGGTCTTCTCGTAAATAATCTGAATAACATCTGTGCGTCTGCTCCAGTACGACCCACGCTTCGGAGACGCCTTCTGGAACAGCAGCAAGTGTGGGATCATCAGCTACCTGCTCTGGACCATGAGCAGCTGGGCCATCGTCTGCAGCGTGTGGTACCTGCCCCCCATGAAGAGAGAGGTGAGACCCAGGACTGAGGCTGTAGGCCCAGGACTGAGGCTGTAGGTCCGGGACTGAGGCTGTAGACCCAGGACTGAGGCTGTAGGTCCGGGACTGAGGCTGTAGACCCAGGACTGAGCCTGTAGACCCAGGACTGAGGCTGTAGGTCCGGGACTGAGGCTGTAGACCCAGGACTGAGGCTGTAGACCCAGGACTGAGGCTGTAGACCCGGGACTGAGGCTGTAGGTCCGGGACTGAGGCTGTAGACCCAGGACTGAGGCTGTAGACCCAGGACTGAGGCTGTAGGTCCGGGACTGAGGCTGTAGATCCAGGACTGAGGCTGTAGGTCCAAGACTGAGGCTGTAGGTCCGGGACTGAGGCTGTAGATCCAGGACTGAGGCTGTAGATCCAAGACTGAGGCTGTAGATCCAAGACTGAGGCTGTAGGTCCAGGATTGAGGCTGTAGGTCCGGGACTGAGGCTGTAGACCCAGGACTGAGGCTGTAGACCCAGGACTGAGGCTGTAGGTCCGGGACTGAGGCTGTAGACCCAGGACTGAGGCTGTAGACCCAGGACTGAGGCTGTAGGTCCGGGACTGAGGCTGTAGGTCCGGGACTGAGGCTGTAGATCCAGGACTGAGGCTGTAGATCCAGGACTGAGGCTGTAGACCCAGGAATGAGGCAGTAGACCCAGGAATGAGGCTGTAGATCCAGGACTGAGGCTGTAGATCCAGGACTGAGGCTGTAGGTCCAAGACTGAGGCTGTAGGTCCGGGACTGAGGCTGTAGATCCAGGACTGAGGCTGTAGATCCAAGACTGAGGCTGTAGGTCCAGGACTGAGGCTGTAGATCCCAGACTGAGGCTGTAGGTCCAGGACTGAGGCTGTAGATCCCAGACTGAGGCTGTAGGTCCGGGACTGAGGCTGTAGATCCAGGACTGAGGCTGTAGACCCAGGACTGAGGCAGTAGATCCAGGACTGAGGCTGTAGATCCGGGACTGAGGCTGTAGGTCCGGGACTGAGGCTGTAGGTCCGGGACTGAGGCTGTAGATCCAGGACTGAGGCTGTAGATCCAGGACTGAGGCTGTAGATCCAGGACTGAGGCTGTAGATCCAGGACTGAGGCTGTAGGTCCGGGACTGAGGCTGTAGGTCCGGGACTGAGGCTGTTGACCCAAGACTGAGGTTGAAGACCCAGTACTGAGGCTGTAGAACCAGGACTGAGGCTGTAAGTCCGGGACTGAGGCTGTAGATCCAAGATTGTGGTCCGGGACTGAGGCTGTAGATCCGGGACTGAGGCTGTAGGTCCGGGACTGAGGCTGTGGACCCAAGACTGAGGTTGTAGACCCAGGACTGAGGCTGTAGAACCAGGACTGAGGCTGTAAGTCCGGGACTGAGGCTGTAGATCCAAGATTGAGGCTGTAGATCCAGGACTGAGGCTGTAGACCCAGGACTGAGGCTGTAGATCCAGGACTGAGGTCCAGGACTGAGGCTGTAGGTCTGGGACTGAGGCTGTAGATCCAGGACTGAGGCTGTAGATCCCAGACTGAGGCTGTAGATCCAGGACTGAGGCTGTAGACCCAGGACTGAGGCTGTAGATCCAAGACTGAGGCTGTAGACCCAGGACTGAGGCTGTAGATCCAGGACTGAGGCTGTAGATCCAGGACTGAGGCTTTAGATCCAGGACTGAGGCTGTAGATCCAGGACTGAGGCTTTAGATCCGGGACTGAGGCTTTAGATCCAGGACTGAGGCTGTAGATCCAGGACTGAGGCTTTAGATCCGGGACTGAGGCTGTAGATCCAGGACTGAGGCTGTAGACCCAGGACCGAGGCTGTAGAACCGGGACTGAGGCTGTAGGTCCGGGACTGAGGCTGTAGGTCCGGGACTGAGGCTGTAGATCCAGGACTGAGGTCCGGGACTGAGGCTGTAGGTCCGGGACTGAGGCTGTAGATCCAGGACTGAGGCTGTGGACCCAAGACTGAGGCTGTAGACCCAGGACTGAGGCTGTAGAACCGGGACTGAGGCTGTAGATCCAGGACTGAGGTCCGGGACTGAGGCTGTAGGTCCGGGACAGAGGCTGTAGATCCAGGACTAAGGCTGTATATCCAAGACTGAGGCTGTAGATCCAGGACTGAGGCTGTAGACCCAGGACTGAGGCTGTAGAACCGGGACTGAGGCTGTAGGTCTGGGACTGAGGCTGTAGATCCAAGACTGAGGCTGTAGACCCAGGACTGAGGCTGTAGATCCAGGACTGAGGCTGTAGACCCTGGACTGAGGCTGTAGACCCAGGACTGTGGCTGTAGACCCAGGACTGAGGCTGTAGACCCAGGACTGAGGCTGTAGACCCAGCAGTTAGAGATCTTATATTAGTTTCGTGTCCATACTTGGATGCAAAAGCCAGATCCCTCAGACCCCTGAAGCTAAGCAGGGCCGATCCCGGTTAGTACTGTGATGGGAGACCTCTGGGAACACCAGGTGCCACAGTGGGGCGGCTGCGGCTGTAAAAAACACAATATAAAACTGATGTATTACTATCTAAATGTGTTTTTCTTTGTGATGCTAAACGTAGAGATGTTGTGAGATCTTTGTGCAACACTGACATTTCTGTGTGTGGAGGACGGGGAGAGCGCCGTGGACTTCTCAAACCGGGTGAAGTCGGCCATCGCGGCTCAGGGTGGCCTCGTGGACCTGGTCTGGTGAGGACCGCACTCTGGAAATGGTTTCTTCAGTCATTGGCAGCAACATCACTGCTTCTCCTCCTTCTTCTTCTTCTGCTTCTTTTTCTTCTTCTGCTTCTGCTTCTTCTGCTTCTCCTTCTTCTTCTTCTTCTTCTTCTGCTTCTCCTTCTGCTTCTCCTTCTTCTTCTTCGTCTTCTCCTTCTTCTTCTTCTCCTTCTTCTGCATCTTCTTTTGCTTCTTCTTCTTCTTCTGCTTCTCCTTCTTCTTCTTCTTCTCCTTCTTCTTCTTTTCCTTCTTCTTCTGCTTCTTCTTTTGCTTCTTCTTCTTCTTCTGCTTCTACTTCTTCTCCTCCTTCCCCTTCTCCTTCTTCTCCTCATTTTTCTTTTTCTCCGTCTCCTTCTGCTCCTCCTTCTTCTTCTGCTTCTTCTTCTTCTGTATCTTCTCCTCCTCCTCCTCCTTCTTCTTCTTCCCCCTTCTTCTCCTTCTTCTTCCCCTTCTTCTTCTTCTTCTTCTCCTTCTTCTTCTCCTTCTTCTTCTGCTTCTTCTTCTTCTCCTTCTTCTTCTCCTCCTTCTTCTTCTTCTTCTCCTTCTTCTGCTTCTTCTTATTCATCATCTTCTTCTGCTTCTGTTTCTTTTTCTTCTCCTTCTTCTGCTTCTTCTCTTCCACCTGCTTCTTCTCCTCTTTCTACTTAATCTTCTTCTTCCGTTTCAGGGATGGAGCATTAAAGCGATCGAAAGTGAAGGATGATTTAAAGAAGGAGCAACAAAAACTTTACAGCAAAGTCCTCATGTTCGATCGAGACTTGAGAAACAGAAACAACATTTAGTCTCCATTGTATTTATGGACTTAATAAAGTTGTGGATTCACCAACAACAGATTAGAAAAACCACACACAGGAACTGCAATAAACACATGGAGACGTTGGTTCATAGGGAGCGGAATGACTGAGGCTGTAGACCCAGGACTGAGGCTGTAGATCCAAGACTGAGGCTGTAGACCCAAGACTGAGGCTGTAGATCCAAGACTGAGGCTGTAGACCCAAGACTGAGGCTGTAGATCCAAGACTGAGGCTGTAGACCCAAGACTGAGGCTGCAGATCCAGGACTGAGGCTGTAGATCCAAGACTGAGGCTGTAGACCCAAGACTGAGGCTGCAGATCCAGGACTGAGGCTGTAGATCCAAGACTGAGGCTGTGGACCCAGGACTGAGGCTGCAGATCCAGGACTGAGGCTGTAGATCCAAGACTGAGGCTGTAGACCCAAGACTGAGGCTGCAGATCCAGGACTGAGGCTGTAGATCCAAGACTGAGGCTGTGGACCCAGGACTGAGGCTGCAGATCCAGGACTGAGGCTGTAGATCCAAGACTGAGGCTGTAGACCCAGGACTGAGGCTGCAGATCCAAGACTGAGGCTGAAGACCCAAGACGGAGGCTGTAGATCCAGGACTGAGGCTGCAGACACATAGGACTGAGGCTGTAGATCCAGGACTGAGGCTGTAGACCCAGGACTGAGGCTGTAGACCCAGGACTGAGGCTGTAGAGCCATGGTCCGAACAGTCACATGAACTGACTTTATGTTGCAGCTAAAATCTGGAACAAATGAATTCTTCTCTGACAATGTTCAAATCCAGGTTAAAACAGTTCTGTTTCACTGGACCATCTCTGTGCTCTTCCGTGTTGTCCAGCAGGGGGCGGTGTTGTACATTATAATAAAGGCAACAGGTGGAGATTATGTTGTTATGGTGATTTTCCAGTGATTGTAGTAGTAGTAGAAAGTGCGATTAGTGTTTCAAATGTTATTCAAAATTAAACTTTAAAACAACGCATAACGAATAAACTGTTAGAAATATAGGTATGATTTACATATAAAAACTAACAATATTTTGCACAGATTTAAAATATAAATGTTAAATGTCTAAATATGTTTTTATTATCGTAATTATAGTATTATTTTTTGCTTAATAGCTGCAGGTGATCTATTGGTTCCAAATCTTTTTTTTATTTTAAAACAGCATATTTTTGTAGTCGTTTTTTATACGTAAATAATAGCAGCCTTCTTCTTCTTCTTCGTGTGTTTACCATATTTGAAGTAGGAGTAGCTCTCACTATATCCACACAGACAGGACACAGGCCCAGACATTCTCTGACCACACACCTCACGCAGGCCCGTCCCAAGGAGGGTGCGAGGCCCTGTGCGAACTCGAAACGCGAGGCCCTGCCCTGACACTTTTTTCCCAGATCTGAGGAAAGTTTTTCCTGTTATAATCTTTGACATGAATTCAGCACCACCTCGCGCGGTGCTTGACGAGATCAGCACGCGTGTAACCGAGTGTCTTCGCTCCTATGCAGCGTTTGGCGCGCGCACGTACACACGCACACACACTCTACGTGCAATATTGGTCGCGGTCTTTTTAGCTGACATGTCTCTTTCGTCCTGTGGCAAAATGGTAGAGCAACTCAAAAGATTGAACCAAAAGGAGTCTTTTTCTTCTAATAGTTAGATTTTGGCAAAATGCGCCAAAATGGCTATGAGGCGGAGTCAATATTATTTTTTTCTCATCAAATAACGTTTTTGCCATGCCTCCACACACTCTGACAACATACACTCCTCCTCCTCCACGCTGACAACAACAAAATACTCTTCACCTCCTCCTCCACACACTCTGACCACAACAAAAACACTCCAGCTAGCTAAAGCTAGACATACAGTGTGTTTGCTAATGCTTTTAAAAATATGTTTTTGATGTGGATATTCGGACTAAACATTGGCAATAGCAGCGCTCACACACCTGTCACACCGCTGATCCTCCTCCTCCTCCTCTGCTCACACAAAGGGGTCTGCTCCTCTGCTCACACCTGTCTCACTGCTCCTCCTCCGACGCTAAAGTTATCTGACAGTTTTTTCGGAGGACCCGTTGCATACATAGCTGCCCGCGCGCCTGCCTGTTTACAAATCGCTTTTGGTGAAAATTTGACTTTACTTGTAAAAATGTTCTTTTGATCAAACGAAATCAAAGAGGTCCAGAGAAAGGGGTTTAGGGTTCCAAATTTGGAGTGCAGTCTGCCCTTTGGGGACCCTTGAACTAGTGTATTTATAAAATAAAATAAAAGGAAGGAAGATTGCGAGGCCCCTGTGTGGTGCGAGGCCCTGTGCGATGGCACAGGTCGCACAGCCCTTAGGACGGGCCTGACCTCACGCTCTCTGTGCTGAAGTCCTTACTCCTCCACACACTTCTTCAGCAGTCAAATTGACGGCGATGAGTGTCCCACTGAGTCCTGGTAATCTGTGGGCGTGTCTTGAGAAGGCCACGCCCCATCAGCTGTCTCCCTGAACTCCCTGCGTCTCTACAGTCCCGTGAGTGTCTCTGTGACGGAGACCAGAGAACCGCTCTGTGTGAGACTGGGACACCGGAAAGGACATGTCTCTCTCGGGTCCGTGGGGACAATGGGCTCCAACGGGGGTCCAGGTCACGGTGCTTCAGGCGCGCGGGCTGCGGATCAAAGGGAAGAGCGGCACGAATGACGCGTACGCCGTGATGCACGTGGGCAAAGAGAAGTTCCAGACGTCAGTGGTGGAGAAGAGCGTGTCCCCGGTGTGGAGGGAGGAGGCCGCCTTTGACCTGCCCTCAGCGGGGGGCACCCTACACGTCAGCGTCCTGCACCGCGCCCTGGTGGGTCCAGACAAACTACTGGGAAAAGTTTCTATCGACCTGCACCAGCTGCAGGAGGACACCAGCAGAGACCAGACTCAGTGAGTACCATCACCCACTGACGCCTGACACCTGGTACACACGTTTGGAACCTCCTCACATGGTCTCAGTGCTTTGAGGACAGGGGGGATGTGGTCTCAGTGCTTTGAGGACAGGGGGGATGTGGTCTCAGTGCTTTGAGGACAGGGGGGATGTGGTCTCAATGCTTTGAGGACAGGGGGGGGGGGGGGGGGGATGTGGTCTCAGTGCTTTGAGGACAGGGGGGGATGTGGTCTCAGTGCTTTGAGGACAGGGGTGGAGGGGGGATGTGGTCTTAGTGCTTTGAGGACAGGGGGATGTGGTCTCAGTGCTTTGAGGACAGGGGGGGGGGTGTGGTCTCAGTGCTTTGAGGACAGGGGGGGGGGGGGATGTGGTCTCAGTGCTTTGAGGACAGGGGGGATGTGGTCTCAGTGCTTTGAGGACAGGGGGGGGGGATGTGGTCTTAGTGCTTTGAGGACAGGGGGGGGGGGGGGGATGTGGTCTTTAGTGCTTTGAGGACAGGGGGGATGTGGTCTCAGTGCTTTGAGGAAAGGGGGGGGGGGGGGGGGGGGGATGTGGTCTCAGTGCTTTGAGGACAGGGGGGGGGGATGTGGTCTCAGTGCTTTGAGGACAGGGGGGGGGGGGGGGGGGATGTGGTCTCAGTGCTTTGAGGACAGGGGGGGGGATGTGGTCTCAGTGCTTTGAGGACAGGGGGGATGTGATCACAGTGCTTTGAGGACAGGGGGGATGTGGTTTTAGTGCTTTGAGGACAGGGGGGGGATGTGGTCTCAGTGCTTTGAGGACAGGGGGGGGATGTGGTCTCAGTGCTTTGAGGACAGGGGGGATGTGATCACAGTGCTTTGAGGACAGGGGGGGGATGTGGTCTCAGTGCTTTGAGGACAGGGGGGATGTGGTCTCAGTGCTTTGAGGACAGGGGGGGGGGATGTGGTCTCAGTGCTTTGAGGACAGGGGGGGGGATGTGGTCTCAGTGCTTTGAGGACAGGGGGGGGGATGTGGTCTCAGTGCTTTGAGGACAGGGGGGGTGGGGATGGTGGTCTCAGTGCTTTGAGGACAGGGGGGGGATTTGGTCTCAGTGCTTTGAGGACAGGTGGGGGATGTGGTCTCAGTGCTTTGAGGACAGGGGTGGGTATGTGATTGTGCTTGCATGGGGGGTTGAGTGTCTGGTGGGGGGGGTTCGAGGGTGGGTAGTGATTGTGTGTGGGTGCTGTTGGTGGGAGGGGTGGGGGTATGTTGAAGGGGTTAGGGCAGTTGCGGTGCTTTGTTGGGATGGTGTTGGGGTGTCGGTCTGGCGCGGAGAGGGGGGTGTGTAGGTTTTTAGGAGGGGTGGGGGTAGTGTGGTCAGATGGCGGTGGGGGCGGGTCGCTCGTGACGCGTAGGGAGAGTCGGTCGTGCTTGGGAGGGTGGTGCCTTGGAGGGGGATCCGTCTTCTTTGTTAGTTTTGTGGTTGGGGTGTTGTTTTGTGTCCCCTCGGGGTTTGTGAGGGACGTATGCGGGGAGTGCGGCTGTGCGGCAGGATCGGGGACAGGCTGGGCGGGCGTGGTGGAGGGGGGGATTAGAGTTGGCAGATTCGTGTGCGGCTTATGTGATGGACCTGGTTGTGGACTTGAGGCGTTGCAGTTTATATTTCGTGTTGGCCGTATGGTCTGTGGGTGGGTGTTTTGGTTGGCGCGGTTGGGGTGGGTGGGTTGGGTGTTGGGGCTGAGGGTGTTAGAGAGGATGGGGTTGGTGGTTTTGGGCGGGCGGTTCTGGGGTGAGGTGGTTGTACGGGGCAATGTTTAGTGTCAGGGTGTTCCAGTTAGTTGGGGGGGGATCCTGGTGTTTGTGGGGTGTTTGGTATGGGGTGGTCAGGCGGGGGTGATTTGATCGGTGGGGTGGCGCTTGTTTATGTGCGTGCGTTGGGGTTCTTGAGTGGGTGCCTATTGGTTGGGGTTGTGCGAGTTGGTTGTTGGTCAGAGGCTCTTGGTGTGTGTGATGTGGGTGGCTGGTGGTTTCGTGGGGGGTGGCTGTGCTGGTAGTAGGGTCGGTGTTATTGTGATGTTGTTAGGGGCGGGGGTATAGTAGATTCGTGGGGTGTTGGGGGCGCGGGGCCGACTGATGGGGGGTGTGATGATGGAGGGGGGGGGACCAGTTTGGATGGTGTGTGTCGTTGTGTTGGCGGGGGAGTGCGTGGTTTGGTTGCGTCGTGGAGGGGACGTTATGGTTCCCTTGGAGGGGGGGGGTGTCGGGTGATTGTGGGTGGTGGTTCTGACCGGCAGTTTGTCGGGGTTGTTCAGCTGGTCTGTGTGTATCTTTGGTGTGTGGCGCAGTGGTAGGGGGATCCTTATATGGTGTCGGGGCCTGTTTGAGGTGGGTTGTTAGGTGTTCGTAGAGCGGCTGATTTGGAGCGGGTGGCGGGAAGTTGGCTGTTGGTCTGGTTTGGGGGGCGGAGTGACTGTTATTGTTATTTAGGCCTAGTGTTGGCCATCGTTGGCTGGGGGGGGGGGGGGACGTTTGCGGTTCGGTTCTTGGTTGGGTGTTTTGGACTCTGAGCGTTTTTTTGATATCGGGTTGATATGGGGGGGGCTGGTGACGGGAGAGTTTGGTTGTGGCAATTCATAGGCGGGGGTGTTTGGGTGGTCGGGTTGGAGGCCGGTGTGGTCTTTCTGGCGGGAATGTGTAGGGGTCTGGAGGAAGTGTTGGGTGTTTTGGGTTGTGTGGGGTGTATTGCCGGCACATTTTGATTTTTTCGTGGGGCCTTAAAGTGCGCTGGGAGAGGGTTGTGGGTGTGTTACGGGCTAGTTGTTGAGGGCAGCTTTTGGGGGTCGAGTGGTGTTTGTTGGCGTTCTGTTTGAAGGGGGAGGGCTTGGGTGGTGGGAGGCTGGCCCAGCTTGTCGTATGGCTTGGGGTGGGGGGGACCTCGTGTCGGGGGGTTTGGGGTGCTGAGGGACCGGGGGTTTTAGCCTGATTAGTTTGAGGTTAAAGGTCTCGTTTTGTCTGGGAGTTGGTTGCGGGGCGGGGATGATGGTGTCTAGTTGTTGGTAAGGGTTGGGCGGCTGTTATGCGGGGGTGTGAGTTAGGGGGGGTCGGGTGGCGTGGTTGGCGGGGTGCGGAGGTTGGGTTGAGGGCTTATTGGGAGCGGGGTTTCGGTGTAGGGGGGTTTAGTCTGCAGTTCTCTTGCAACGGGGGGGTGTGGTTATGGGGGCGGGGGGTTGGGGGGGTGGGGGGGGTCATTGTAGGTAGGCTGCGGGAGGGGGGGATGGGCGTGGCGTGTGGGGTTGGTGTGTACTATGGTTGGGGGGATGTTCTTTCTTTCAGAGGGTCATTGGTGGGGGGGGGGATGTGGTTCAGTGCTTTGAGGACAGGAGGGATGTGGTCTCAATGCTTTGAGGACAGGGGGGGGGATGTGGTCTCAGTGCTTTGAGGACAGGAGGGATGTGGTCTCAATGCTTTGAGGATGTATCTTCAGGCAGAGGGAAACTGCGAGTTATTGTTGTTCCAGTTTTTTTTTGTATGAATTCTGGTTCTCGACAGTTTTGAACCTGTGTAACAAATGAAGCATTGCACTATTGCAGAGTTAACCAAAGTATTTAAATGTAAACATCTCAATGGTAAACTTGGTTTCCTGTTTAAAACAGCAGAACTGACCCACACCACTTCCTACACTGTGTCAGTATTATTAACCATGTGTTGGACTGTACATGTACCATGTGCAGGACTGTACATGTACCATGTGCTGGACTGTACATGTACCATGTGTTGGACTGTACATGTACCATGTGCAGGACTGTACATGTACCATGTGCAGGACTGTACATGTACCATGTGCAGGACTGTACATGTACCATGTGTGTGACTGTACATGTACCATGTGTTGGACTGTACATGTACCATGTGTTGGCCTGTACATGTACCAAGTGCAGGACTAAAACTGTTGTCAGAGGAGAGTTTATCCACTTTGTGGAACTACATAAGTTAATGAATAATATAACACCAGCTCTCTGGTCTCTCTCTGGTCTCTCTCTGGTCTTCCTCTGGTCTTCCTCTGGTCTCTCTCTGGTCTCTCACACATCACCGCTGTGTCAATCCAGGACCAGTGTTTTGACTTGAACATTGGTATGTTTCTGTAGTTTCAGTTTAATCTCAGATTCCTGCAGAGTTTATCAGTGAAAAACAAACAGAAGGAGGTCACTCCCACTGTTGGGTTGAGTCGTGTGTAATATTTGAAATCCCAAAAGGAATGTGCAGAATCCAGGAGCTTTATGTGAGAGAGCAGCTTCTGAACCTGCTGCTGGTTGTGAGACACTCTCATTCAACATGTTTTAATGTGGGATTGTCAGAGGAAGCAGTGTATGCAGTTAGAGCTCCCCTCTCTCACCTCTGGTCATGAAGGAGCAGTGTATGCAGTCAGAGCTCCCCTCTCTCACCTCTGGTCATGAAGGAGCAGTGTATGCAGTCAGAGCTCCCCTCTCTCACCTCTGGTCATGAAGGAGCAGTGTATGCAGTCAGAGCTCCCCTCTCTCACCTCTGGTCATGAAGGAGCAGTGTATGCAGTCAGAGCTCCCCTCTCTCACCTCTGGTCATGAAGGAGCAGTGTATGCAGTCAGAGCTCCCCTCTCTCACCTCTGGTCATGAAGGAGCAGTGTATGCAGTCAGAGCTCCCCTCTCTCACCTCTGGTCATGAAGGAGCAGTGTATGCAGTCAGAGCTCCCCTCTCTCCCCTCTGGTCATGAGGGAGCAGTGTATGCAGTCAGAGCTCCCCTCTCTCACCTCTGGTCATGAGGGAGCAGTGTGTGCAGTCAGGGCTCCCCTCTCTCACCTCTGGTCATGAGGGAGCAGTGTGTGCAGTCAGAGCTCCCCTCTCTCACCTCTGGTCATGAGGGAGCAGTGTGTGCAAGGATCAAAAAGCGTTCATAGCGACGTCGCTTTTTGATCCTTGGATGTCGCTCTTCCTGTCAGTGTGAAGCAGAATTCACCAGCGTTGGATCGTTCTCTCACTGACAGGGAACCTAAGCTGGGCTTAGACCGTCGTCAGGTGAGTTTTACTGATGATGTGTTGTTGCAATAGTAATCCTTCTGTTGCAACACGCGAGTTCCTCCATAGTGGAGCTGCCTGAGACACACAAGAGGAGCTCAGAGTAGAGCCGCTGCTCCTCCACAAGGAGAGGAGCCAGTGGGAGGTGGCTCTGGCATCTATTTGGGATGCCTCCTGGTCTCCTCCCTGAGGAGGTGTTCTGGACCGGTCCCACAGGAGGAGACCAGGAGGAGACCAGGAGGAGACCAGGACTGTGTCTCAGGGAATGCCAGTCGTAACTTCCGTTCTGTCTCTCCCCCCTCTTTTTCTGTCTCTCTCAATCTCTTCCTCTCTCCCCTCTCTTGCTCTCTCTCTATCCCTCCCCCCCCTCTCTCCTCCCCTCCCCCCCCCCCTCTCCTCCCCGCTCTCCCTCTCTCTTCCCCGCTCTCCCTCTCTCTTCCCCGCTCTCCCTCTCTCTTCCCCGCTCTCCCCTCTCTCTTCCCCGCTCTCCCTCTCTCTTCCCCGCTCTCCCTCTCTCTTCCCCGCTCTCCCTCTCTCTTCCCCGCTCTCCCTCTCTCTTCCCCGCTCTCCCTCTCTCTTCCCCGCTCTCCCTCTCTCTCCCCCCTCTCTGCCTCTCCCCCTCTCTCTCTGGCAGGTCAGTGGTTTTATGTTTCTCTGTTCATTTGATCCAACTGGAGCTGAGTCACTGGTCTCACAGGACGGACTCTGGACTGCAACAAAACCCCAACAATCTACGTCACTGCTCTGCTCCTCCCTCTCCTCCTCCTTCCCCTCACCACCACTTCTTCTTCTTCCTCATCTCCATCTTCTCACCTCCCCTCCTCCATCTCCTCCCCTTGCCACCTCCTCCTCTACCTTCGCCACCTCCTCCTCCCCTCCCCACCTCCTCCTTTCCCCTCCTCTCCTCACCACCTCCTCCCTCGATACCTCTTGCTCACCTCCCCACCTCCTCCTCATCACCTCCTCCGCCCCTCCCCTCCTCCTCCTCCTGGTCCTCACAGCTGCAGTATGTGATAGGGCCAGTCTCTGTGGCCTGTGTCTTATCTCTGAGACAGTGGGAGGAAGGAGGAGCTGTCACTGAAGAGAACTGTGGACGAAGCAGGCGCTATGTCCTTTCTCTGCATCAGCACTTCCTCCTAATTTCCTCCTGTCGAGGAATAACACTTTTAATTCCTCTTTCAGCTGCAGTTGTGACACAGGCTCTTGTGAAACTTCTCCTTTGGTGAATGAGGCTTTGGCTTCGGGTTTAGCAGTAAATCAATAAACTATAGGATACTATTTACAACATCAAACTGTATACAGATGGACAATGCTAACACAGACTGTATACAGATGGACAATGCTAACACAGACTGTATACAGATGGACAATGCTAACATAGACTGTATACAGATGAGCGAGTCCCTGCTCCAAAAGGTCCATGAGCACTTGCGCAGACATGCTTGCAATACCACTCCGGGCCACTGGTGTACTACCCAGAATAGGGATTACCCAGTGCTTTTGTATGGTGTCTTCTTTCCTCTCAAAAACAGCTTTACAGTATGGTCCAAAAGTGGCTCTTGGTCCAAAGCTACCTTCCAGATGCTGTCAATGCTGAGGGGGGTATATTTTTTTTGGACCAGTCTAGTTTAGCCGCTGTTGACTTTTGAATGCGCTCGTCAAATGAATGGGGCTAGTGCAGCTAACGCATGCCCAAATCCCTTTTTTTTCACATTTTGAGAAAGCCCACAGAAGGAAAAGATGGGGGTACATTAGTTTCAACAGCGGAGATAGGCATCATATGTCCGTGAATGTTTACAGTCTATGGTCTGAAGCGAGGTCTGCAATCCTGAGGGTAAACTGACTTGACAAGGTAAAAGTATTCACTGTTGTTGTAGTTGGTCACACTTCCTAACCCTAACCCACTTCACTCCAGGCCCTTGAGCTGTAAGTATCGGCCATTTTAGATTCAGAGTCTACTCTACAGGGACAGGAGCTGGTATTTCCTGCTGTAATGAGTCTGAACCAGAGTCTGATCTGACACATCCCTGTAGTTTCACACGTGCACGAGAGCTCCAGGAGCAATGTTTCTTGCCAGGGCATCTATAGATAGACACAGTGTAGATCAAAATGGAAGCTTTTTATCTGTAAAGTGCTTCACACATCTTTGCAAAACATGCGCTAACATATATTAACATTAAAAATCAGATTCAAGAAACACAGAAAGAACACATCCAAAAAGGCTCAATATTTACTGACATGTACAAATAAAGCAGTGATTGGCTTTTTAGGCACACATTAGACGAACGGGCATCTGTCTTTCTCTAATTGTAATATGTATGTAAAAAGAAAAAGGACAATTATACAAAAAAGCAGATCCTCAAATTGACTTTCACGATATTATTGTCTACGATATATTTTGCCCACCCCTAATTTATACTTATATTCAACTGTTTTGGTGAAAGTCTAAATGCATAAACTGAGGGGTGACAGTAGCTCAGCTGGTAGAGCATTGGCCTTTGGGCCTGAAGGTTGTGGGTTTGAACCCACCACGGGACCTACTCCAACTGCTCCCACAAATGTTTGCTGTCGTTGTGTCCTTGGGCAAGACAATTAACCCCACTTTGCCTGAAGGCATCACTGATGTAGCAGACCTCTTCCTGTGGACTCGCCACCTGCAGAGGATCAGAGGGAGAGCATTGGTGCAGCTCTCATTGCCACGCCCCGACTCAGAAATGGACTAATAAAGAGGCAAAAAATGAATGAATGAATGAATAAATGCAAAAACTCACATTTTTAAATAAAATATGAAAATAGTGAAAGAAACAAACTTTGGTAACTCCGCCCTCTCTAATGAACAGCTAATGAAGTGCTGATTAATGTATGTTCTTCCTGTTTACATGTCTGCCCGTGTCTGCGTATAGGTTTCCTC